CAGAGCAGGGTCCTTAGAGGAGCTGACACTTTGGTTTGGCCTGAAGAAGGTGAGAAACCTGGAAATGCTGAGCTGAGAGAGGGGAGGATTCAGGCAAGAGGGAATGGTGTCAGCAATGACAGCAAGCAAGGGAGGCCAGAGGATGTGAAGGGAATAGCAGGTCATCTGCTTTGGCTGAAAAATAGGAGTTGGTGAGGACAGGGGAGGCCACACGGTGATACGGTGGATTGGCAGGGTGGGCTTAGAATGTGGAGCAAAGTCCTAGAAGTGCCATGCTCAGAGGTGTGTGAGTAAATGGGGCATGGGGCTGGTACACAGAGAGTGCATATGTGTAAAAGTGTGTGTGTGCACGCATGTCCGTGTGTGTTCTTCTGGTACCTTTGTTTATCTTGGACACCAGTGTGTCCATTTCAGAAATACATTTCTTTATTCTTCATGGTATAGTGATCAAAAGTGTCTCTGGAATCAGACACATCTGGGTTCTGCCACTTACAATGTGGGTGAAAACTTGCACACAACCTCTCTGAGCCTCTGTTTCTTTTGTATGTAGAGCTGAGGTAACAGAACTTGCCAGGGACATGGTAAGGATCAGATGAGGGGTGTGTAAAGCACTAGCATGCTGTCTGCTGTACAGTAAGTGGTCTGTACATTCTAGCCACTGTTGAGAGCTGTTGTTATTTCACTGCCCTGGTCACCATCCAGACCCCCAGCCCCTTGCCCTGCTCTTTCAGGCCTGGAGGCTGTGGCCTTTTACACACTGATGCTCTCCTGGCTGGGGACCCCCACTCCCACCCTTCCGTTAGGCTCCTGTGGGCCTGTCTCAAAGCTGATGAGAAAAGCTCTCTTGAAGGGTACCCCCAATAAAGAGGGAGCCTTTGCAAAAGACTGTAGAGCATGGCCCTGTGCTTCTGGTGGAGTTGAGGGACACACTGTCGGGTGGGGGTGAGGAATCTTGAAGGCACATGGGAAGGGAGGGAGGTGGGTGGGCAGGTGGAGGGATCTGGCTACTTGAATCTTCAAACTACATGCTTACACACATGCTCACACCACAGCTCCTGTGGCAAGAAGAGCTGAACAAAACTTTCTGGTTGCATGGTTGACTTTTCCACGTCTTAGTAGAGGTAGACACAATCTCCACTGGCCGTGCCAGGAGCCAGGTATCACAGGTTGCCTTTACGACTTGGCCCTGGGGCTCTTCTGGAAGAGCCTGGGGAGCTTCTGGAAGGGTCTTTCACTTGAAGGAGCCAGGGCCCACCACCCGGAGTGACGATGGTCTGTCCTTGTCCCTGGTTGCAGCTCATCTGATGGCCCAAACTGAAAAATTGAGCTTGTGAGCTCAGCTAACGACCTGAAAGGAAGCATCCCAACCCGGCTTCTCCCCAGCTCCACAATCACCTCACAAAGTGTGGAGACTACAGGCTTTGGCTGACCTTGACTCCTGGGCACTGTCGGCCCTCAGCTGTGAAAGAAATGCTGCCAACATTTCAGAATTGCCTGATTGTAGGATTTTCCAAAGTCCCATCTTGATGATGTTACCCCAGGAGGGAGGAGAAATGACTGAAATTTCCCAAGCCCATATGGCCTCTCCACATGGGAGGCAGACAGAACCAGGTGTCCGGGTTTATAAAACGTGCTAGCAGTGAGGAGTCAGAGTCTTTCTCTTCTTCCTCTTGCTTCATCTCCTCCAGCAGAGAGCTGCCATCACTTGTAGAATGTCTTGCCTAGAGCGGAGTCTGAGTGGAGTGTGCAAATCCAGGTCCTGTGGGACCACTCAGAGATATGGTTACGACCTCACCCTCAGCTGCATCTTGGCCTGCAGGCCCTGGCCTGGTGGCTGCTCCATCACTGCTGGCCCCTGATACCATGGCCTCACTGGGGGCTTTGGCACTGGCTCCTGTGGACACAGATTCAGCACGTGTGGGCTCAGCACTGCCTGCATCACCATCGTGTTGGTCAACAAGAACCTCCTCATGCCCTTCAACCTAGAGATTGACCCCAATATGCAGTGCATAAAGCCGGAGGAGAAGCAGATCAAGTGCCTCAACAGCAGGTTTGCTGCCTTCATCCACCACAAGGTGGGTGTCCTGAATCACACACTTCCTGAACCCCTACCATGTGCACAGCCAGGGCTCGGCACTGAGGAAACAGAGGCAGGCAAGTCTCTGCCTACCTGAGATCCCAGTCTGATGGGAGACAGACAGACAGACAGACACAGTTTGGCAATTTCTTATGAAGTTAAATGTGTACTTATCAAATGATGCAGCAATTCCACTCCTGGGTATTTATTCAAAACAAAAACAAAAACAAGAAACAGATCTATACAGAGACTTGTATATGAATTTTATAGAAGACTTCTTTTTAATACCCCCAAATTGGAAACAACTCAAATGTGTACCAGCAGATGAATGGATAAACAAATTGAGATACAGTCACGTAATAAAATATCATTCAGCAACAAAAAATAATGAACTAGATTCATGACACAACGTAGATAATCTCAAAAACATTATGCTAAGTTGAAACATTCAGATACAAAGAATATATACTGTATACTTCTATTCATTTCAAGTTCTACAACTAGCAATACTAAATTAGATCAGTGGCTGCCTGGGATGTGATTGGGCAGCTGATGGCAAAGACTCATGAGGAGACTTTCTAAGATAATGGAAATCTATGTTTTCATTGAGTGCTGGTTATATTGGAGCATACATCTGTCAAAATTTGTTGATCTGTACTTGGCAATTTCTTATAAATTTAAACATGCACTTTATGTGTGCACTTATATTGAGATATAATTGTATGCAAAATCTCAATAAAGTTGATAAAATAATGATTTAAAATGCATACGATAATTAGAAATAAATCTAATGAATGTGTGAAAGGCTTATACCTAGAGAAATATAAACATTATACAAGATGTTATAGGAAAGGAAAGATAAAAAAGACCTAATTAAATGAAGAGCTATACCATGTTCTCAGGATGCTTTATCATCACAGACATGTTAATTATCCTTAAACTGATCTACAGAGTTGGTGCAACAACACTCAAATTCCAAACAAGGATTTACATAGTTCTTGACAAGTTGATTCTAAAATTTATGGGGAAGAACAAAGGTCAAGACTAGCTAAGTAATGATGAAAATGAAAACATAGGTACTCTCCCTTTCAGGGAGTATAATGTATTATAGAGTTGTAGTAATTCAGAAAGTATAGTACCCACACAGGAATAGATAAATTGACCAACAGAACAAAATAGACCCTAAATTTATAAATAAATAAATAAATTATTTTGTTGTATAATAGAGGGGGTATGTAGTGAAAAGGACTATGCATTGGTTATCCACATGTAAAAAATAAAATTAGATTCCTGTTTTCTCTTATACACAAAATCAATTTCAAACTAATTTAAAACACAAATGTCAAAGCAAAACTTTAAGGGTTTTAGAAGAAAGATTGGAGAATATTTTTCTGACCTTGGTGTACAGAAGGATTTTTACACAAGGCACATAAAATGCTTAACATAAAAGATTGATAAATTAGATTACATTAAAACTAACAACTTCATTTTTCAAAATAGGTGATAAAGTTAAAAGATAAGCTGTAAACTTGAAGATGATACTTGTGGAATATATTGATATAGTAGTAATACTCCAAAATACAAAGAACACTTATATTCCTCCAGAATAAGGCAAAAAACTCATTAGAAAAAAATGGAAAAAAGAAAATGAAATACACATGTATTAGACATTTAAAGAGATCTTAAACTTTAACAGTAATCATGAAAATACAAAGCAAGACCAAAAATGAGATGGCATTATTTAATTGTTGAAAATTAAGACACATTAATTTTCACATTGCTGAGCGAAGTATGAATTGTTATAACAACTTTAGAAAATAATTTTATATTATAAAGTTAACACCTTTATAAGATACTAACCATCTTATAAGTCAGAAATTCTGTTTGTAGTTGTACACAAATTCTCATGTATGTCCATTGGAGGACATGTAGAAAAATGTTCACAGCACTACCTTTTTAAGAGAAAAAAAAACAATAATAGAATTACATAAAGAGTGGTATAGTCAGCCAGGCGTGGTGGCTCACGCCTGTAATCCCAGCACTTTGGGAGGCCGAGGTGGGTGGATCAGGAGAGGTCAAGAGATCGAGACCATCCTGGTCAACATGGTGAAACCCCGTCTCTACTAAAAATACAAAAAATTAGCTGGGCATGGTGGTGCATGCCTGTAATCCCAGCTACTCAGGAGGCTGAGGCAGGAGAATTGCCTGAACCCAGGAGGCAGAGGTTGCGGTGAGCTGAAATCGCACCATTGCACTCCAGCCTGGGTAACAAGAGCGAAACTCCGTCTCAAAAAAAAAAAAAAAAAAAAAAAGAGTGGTATAGTCACACAATGGAATATTGTAAGAATGAAATACTAATACTATAATGGAGGAATACTAGCTACATAATGTTGAATAAAACAAGACCCTGTGTGACATCCTTTTTATAAAAAAAAGAACAGAAAACTGAAACAAATATATATTTAGGCATATGCGTGTATATGATAAAGAAACTAAGAAAAAACAAAGGAATTATATCAACTTAGGAAAGCAGTCACCTCTGGGGTGAATGGAGAGGACAGGGTAGGGAAGGAGCATAAAGCTAGGTGTAAATTACTAGTAAGGTTTTAGTTTTGGGATCAGTAAGTGGGTGGGTAAGTAAGTGGGTGGGATCAGTAAGTGGGTTCATGAGTATTTCATTTTCATTATATTATTAAATAATAAGGTAACATGCTAGTTATAAGAAATAAAACATAAGGACATAAGTTGAAAGTAAAAAATATGTTAAGGTGATTGGTTAGATCAGAATACATTACACATAGTAGAAGTAAATGATTTTTCCATGAAACTTATTTCAGTATATGTGTGTGTATTTGTATGTAGGTAGTGATTCATGATACAACTTATATTTCTTATTTAGAGTTGAGTTTAAAAAACAATTTGACAACTAGTACCCCAAAGAACTTCTTGCTGAGGTCCACCAGCAGATATGTATAAGTAAGTTCATGACAGCATTGTTTGTTACAACCAAAACAAAAATCACATGTGCTACCTATAGGAAAATGGCTATATGTATGTATGTATGTGTGTGTGTATATGTATAGTCATACATTGGAATACTATGCAGCACTGAGAAGTAAAACTACATGCATCAGAAAGATGAATCTCAAAACTAGAATGTTGAGGAGGAAAAAGCAAGTCATAGACACGTATAAGGTGTAATTCTATTTGTATAAAGCTTAAAGGTAGGCAAAACTCAACACATGTTTAGGGATACACACATATGACATAGTAATAAAGAAAAGAAAGGGAATGACCAACATAAAAACCCAGGACAGTGGTTACTTTGGGGATCAGATGGGGTTCGAGATGGATAGAGATGGGGATCGGATGGGGTTCAAGAATCCTGCAGGAGGCTTTGAAGGTACTGGTGAGTACACAAGGATTTGTTTTATTATTGTTGATAGTTAAATCAATAAATGTAGGTCTTGCATGCTCTTTTGCATACATGAGAAATTTATAAAACAAAGGAAATATGCTCTCAGTGGCTTGTGCTCTTTAGTTCCTACGTACTCCTACAGGTTAAAGTCATTGCCTCACCCAAGATCTCCTACCAAGTCTTGGGACTGGCATCCCCAGTTCCAATTTCTTGCCCTCCTGTCAATCTTCTGCACTGCTCCTAGACAATCACATCTTGTGTCAGGCCACTCTCCTGCTCAGACACCCTCTGTGGCTCCCCAGTGCCCATCCAGAAGCCCAAGCTCCTCAGCTCCACACATTTCCTCCACCTGAGGTAGTCTTCCCCTCCACTTTCCTTTAAAGTTCCACTTCAGCCCAGAAACTTTTATTTTCCCATCTGGGATCACAGTATGGCCCCCTTCTACCCCATGCCTCTGAGGTCTCCTGGGTGGAACTCTGTGATTGTAATGAGGTGAGGTCACAGAGCCCCCAGAAAGAAAAGGCCTAGTCCTCAGTGGCAAGGATTCTGGGAGCTCTTGGGCTGGGGCGGGCTTTGATGCTCAAGAGAGCTTGGAGGAGGCCACGGTTCTTACACCATGGTGAGACTTATCCATGGGCTCCCTGGTCACATGGGGATGAGGTGTCTGGGACTCCACCCAGATCAGCTGGGCATCAGCTTTTGGGAACAGGAACAGGAAAGCGGGGTGGGAACATAGCAGAGATTGAGATGATGTTTTGAGGTCAGTTCCTATCTGTTTCCCCACATTCCATCTGCCCTAGAAGGAAGTTTGCAACGGGCTGGTGTGAATAGTTCTTGCTCTCTGTGTTGAGGGGGTGTGTATGACCTTGGTGGAGAGCACAGAGCATGGGCTTAAAATGCAGTCTGGTTCAACTGTTGGCTGGCAGGGCCGCTCACTCCCCTCTTGCCACATTGTGGTTGGAATGAGCCCCAGTTTGCCTGAGGAAAGACTGGGAAAAGTCACATCCACCTGCCCAGCTTCATGGGTGGTTGTGAGGCCCCAGTGAGATGGTGGAGTAAAAGCCTGTGAAAAGCATCAGGCACTGCGCCAGTGTGAGATGCTGTTCCTTGGCTGTTCATGCACTGAATGCACATGGGGGCGAGGTGCGAGATGGGAAAGGGTCCCCTGATTTCATAGACAGCACTTCCCATAGTGGCCTTGGGTTGGGGAAGAAGCTAGACTCTAGATCACTGTCCCTGGTTTCTGATTAATGGCATTCAACTTAAGGACATCACTTCCTAATCCTAGATTTTTTTTTTTTTTTTTTTTTGAGACAGAGTCTCACTCTGTCGCCCAGGCTGGAGTGCTGAGGAGCAATCTTGGCTCACTGCAACCTCCACTTCCCGGGTTGAAGCAGTTCTCCTGTCTCAGCCTCCTGAGTAGCTGGGACTACAGGTGCCCACCACCATGCCTGTCTAATTTTTGTATTTTTGGTAGAGGGTTTTACCATATTGGTCAGGCTGGTCTCAAACTCATGACCTCAGGTGGTCCATTCGCCTTGGCCTCCCGAAGTGCTGGGATTACAGGAGTGAGCCACTGTGCCCAGCCCTAATCCTAGTTTTTAAAATTAGGAATTACTGAATTTCATTAAATGTTTTTTGTTCTAATGTAGATGGTTAGATGTGGTAAACTACAATAATCAATTTCCTACAGTTTAACTCTCCCTGTTCCTGGGATAAACCTATGTGATCTCTGTCCCAAAGGTCCCTTCATCAGATTGCTCCCCTGTGTTTCTGCCCTTCCTGCCTGAGTTCAGGCTTCCTTTGGCATTTCCTGGCCCCATAGGGACCAGGCAAGCTCACTGTGTTCTTTCAGCAACCCGTGGGGATAGGAAAAATGATCACTCCCATTTGACAGCTGGAGAAAGGGGTGCCCAGAGAGGCTAGGTGACCACCGGTGACAGCAGGTGAATGGGTGACCTGTCTGCCCTCCTCACCTCCTGATCACATCTCCCCTCTGCCACCCACTCCACAGTGTGAGGAATTAAAGGCAACCATGCAGAAACACATGCAGAGCCTGAGGCCCAGCAAGGAGGATCTGAATGGGTTTAATCAGGCCATCCAGCAGCTGACTGTGGAGGTGGGCAGTGCTGAGAGTCAGGTGAGAGGTGGGAGTCGGGGGCAACAGAGTGGCCATGGCAGGATGGTGACCATTATTTATGACACCTGCCCTTCTCCACCAACCCTTTGGATTAGATGGCTTGACTTTCTCTTAGTGAATGTCTGAGTACACAGGAGTGCAGCTGCCTGTGTATGACTTGCTTACCTTTGCCTAGGACCCTGTGCACTTTATGTAAGTAACGAACATGTAGGTACATCTGTATCAAGACATGTGCTTGTTTGTACATCATTATCTTTTTGCTTGTGTATCTTCATTTTTATGTCTGTGTTTTGTGTTTTCCTTACTCAGCATTAAATTTGAGCTCGTCTTCAGAAATTGCAAGATATTACCTAAAAACCCAGTTTTCTGGGTTCTCTTTCAAAATGTGGAGATCTGGCAATGTTCAATTATGATTCTCAAGTGGTGGCATTTAGCTAGAGAAGAGAGGCCTCTGTCATCTCCCTCTTCTTCACACAGGGTATAGGCCCCCTTGTGTGCCGCAGTCCCCACCACTTCCGATCGCATCCTTTGGGTGTGAGGCAGAGGGTCCCTTGCCATTTATTACCACCGTGGCTGCATGTTATTATTCTTGAAGAAGAGAAAAGGTGTGTGGTCAATGTCACTGAAGTAGAGTAACAAAAGTCTGAAAATGTGAAAGAGGTCCTGGTGATTTCAGGAAATGGGAGAGGGCAGATGTTTTTTGTGGAACTTGGGTACTCCTCATACATATTTAGCATTCAGCCTTCACCTTTTGATACTTCCAGCCAGGCCCCTTCAGGCATTTGCATTTGTGAACCTTAGTAAGGAGCTGGTCCCCCAGGATGCTTTCTCCCATTCTCTTTTAGCCTCCTCTCTTACCCCACCCCTCCCCCAGCCCTCTCACACCCTCACTGGCTCAGGTCTCACTCCAGGGAGGGAAGGGCTTCTGTTCCTGGTCTTTTCTTGCTTTCTGCAGACGCAAGTGTCTCGGGCTGGAAAAGATATTCATGGAGAGGATCTCCCTTGTGCAAGAATGAGTGACTCTGAGGAGGGAGAAGCTGCTGAGGTTCTGAGGGGACAGAGTGACTGGGTGGACTGTCATGGCTCAGGCTCTCTCCAGCCACAGCTGCTCTGGTTTCCTAAGCAGCAAATTAAGACCTTCACCAAGGTCTTAATATTTTTCCTCCTGGAGACTATAAACTCTAGGCTTCTGTGAGGAATGGATATTCTTCTTGCTAGTTTTCCTTAGGAAACAATAACCACAGCATTACCTGCAAGAGCATTGGATGCTTCCAAGATCCTAGCTCATATTAGAAGTTTCTCCACACTAGATGTAAAAAGCTCTCTCTCAGCCATCCTAGATGTCTGGTTTCAAATCTTCACCCTGAAAGTAGACAGGTGGGCAGGTTCTTTTCACGTTGCCATGCAGACACACAAACACAAGTTTTGGAACAGGTGTGCTCACTCCTTGCAACCACGGACAATCTCCAATTCCTCATTGGCCCTCTAGCCTCTGAGAAAGGTCTGGATCTTTAAGGGGGAAGGAGTAAAGGCCAAGAATGTTCTTCTGTCCTTGATCTGCCCTGCACCCCCCAAGCCCTGTGAACTAGAGAAAGCCAAGGACCTGACAGCTCTGCAGGAGGAGGGCGGCTCTGGCAGCGCCATCAGCAAGCTGGCCTGGCTGGAGGCTGCCCTGCAGCGGGCTAAGCAGGATGTGGTGCAGCAGCTGTGCGAGTACTGGGAGCTGATGATCATCAAGCGGGGCCTGGACTTGGAGATTGCGGCCTACCACAAGCTGCTGGAGGGTGAGGAGAGTGGGTGATGGCTGGGCTGGGAAGCGCTTCAGATATGGCTGTGGTGAGGAGTGCAGGGGCACAGGGCAGCCACCACCCTCAACAGTCAGGGAAGGCTGAGGAGAGATGAGCTGGGTATCCAGGGACTTGTTCATCTAGAGCTAGTTTTCTCTCACCATCTTACAGCACTTTCAACAAAAGGTCCTAGCTGATGGCACCTGCAATGGGGTGACCCATAGTCATCCACCCCAGTATCAGAGACCAGGGGCCAGTTTGGAGGCAGCAGCAGGGACCAAGGCCTAGCCAGTGGGAATAAGGCCCCTGTGTGAAGTACCTTCTTTTTAACTCTGCCCCTCTCCCCAGGCCTGGGGAAGGTGGGGTTACATGACTGGGTGGGACTTAGGTTTTAACTCAGTAGACAACAATAGGATACAAGGGCTGACACTGGAGATGGGTAAACCAGGCTAAGGGGACAGAGGGGGAACTGATCATTCATGCCACAGGCACATTGCCTTGATCACATCCTTCACACCTCACAAAACCCTGGCAGGGAGATCCTATTATCCCCATTTTACAGATGAGGACACTAAGTCTCAGAGAGGCTAAGTGACAGCTTTAGGGACACACAGGTAGAGTGATTGAGTGAGGCTTGAAAACTAGTCTTCAGATGATGGAGCTATCTGCTCTGGGGTCTCCTTTAAAAGTTGAAAAATGTCACGGTCTCACCTTCCAAGATCAAGTCAGGCCAAAGAAAGTGCAGGTTTTTGTTTTGTTTTTGTCTTCTCTTTCCTCCAAAAAGTCATCAACAAGAGTGAGTTAGTGAATTTTAGGCAGGAGGGATTAGAGCGCGCCAGGGAGCTTGCAAGGTGGAAGGACTGCTGTCTGGGAGGGTCAGGAGTGTGCTGGGGAATGCAGAATATGAAACCTACTACTAGGCAGATGGACTCACCTGCTTTCTCCTTCTTCCCGCAGGTTTGGTCTGGGATTTGGGGCAGGGAGCGTCAGTAAGTAAACAGTAAGCTGGCGTCGGATCTTATCTTAATATCTTATTTTCCTTATTCTCTCCTTCCCCGTCCACACCTTGGCGTGCCTCCTCTTGAGAAGGCAGAAGCGATGTGTTTCTGTTCCTGTGTCTGTCCGCTCCCTCTGTGCCTCTCCTTTGGTCAGGGGCTATATCTTCTCTTGGGGGTGACTCTGTTTGTATGTGTGGGGAAGGCAGTCCTGTGGTCCGCTCTTTGGGGAGGGGTCTGTGTACCTGTTCCTTTGGGGGAGTTTGTACATTCGTCTCCTGGTGGGGAGGAGGGTCTGTGTCCGCTGGAGGAAAAGTCAGCATGTCTGTCTTCTGGGGATGGGGGTTTGGGGGGACGGGAGGGCTTTTCTGGTTCCCCTTCCGCTCAGTCCGGCCCCACCCCGGGCCCCGCCCCCCTGCCCCAGCTCCCCCCTCACCGGGCCCCGCTGTCATGCCCCAGCCCCGGGCCCCGCCTACCTGCCCCAGCCCGGGGCCCCGCCGCCCGGCTCCAGTTCCCCCGCACTGAGCCCCGCCGCCCTGCCCCAGCTCCCCCGCACCGGGCCCCGCTGCCCTGCCCCAGCCCCGAGCCGGTTCCGGCGCCCTGGAGTAGAGCGTCCCTGGCGGAGGCTGCGCGCTCTGCGGCTCCCCCGGCTGTGCCGCGGGCTTCAGCTGCCACGGCTCAAACAGATGTGTTGAACCGTTCCCGCCTAGCTTCAGAGAAGACAAGGAATCCTCAGCTTCAGCCCTAAAGACTTAGCCCTCTTGTCTCAGATGCCCCCTCCCATAGAGCTGACCCTACAACACCTTTCCTTTCCCTCCCCTACGCCGGAGCGTGAGGTGTGGGAGCACGGCTTACAGAACCTTGACTGACCATCCCCTAGTGCAGATGGCCTGGATGCTGGTGCCATTGGGTAGACGTGGCCTGTGACTGACCTGAACCAAGAACCCTGGCCCTCTGAACTGCTGCCACCCCTTCTTTCTAGGGACTTTTCTGCAATAAAAAGTTGTGCAGTGGTCTGAGCTGCCAGGAGTTTAAACCTGGATTCTCTGGGCTATTCCCAGAGCACAGACAAAGCTGGCTGTGTGGAGGGGTCAGGGCAGGGACAGTACCAGGAAGCAACCTCCTCCCCTCCTGGTGTGAGGGTCTATGTGACTTAAATGTGTAGTGATTCGATATTATAGAACCAGGGTCTTTAGGATGGGGAGCGCAGAGTTTGGGGAGAGCCAGAGAAGTGGTTCATTCACGCAGAAGGGGCTAGCCTGGGGCCCACAGACAGTTTTTGGGCAGCAGGACTGAGAATTCCATTCTTCATCCATTCATTCACTCCACACATACTGAATGGCCTCATAGTGCTTGGTACAGGGCACACGATGGTGAGGAAGACACTCTGGGACCCCTGGAGATGAGGTTCTGGAGGGGGCAGGTGGGCCATAGATAAGGAAGCTGAGCAGAAACAGAAAAGAGTGGGATGGGGACTGGGCCAGTGCCTTCTACCCCCTTGATGGGGCACTTGAGGACAGGTGGCCTTTGCAGATGGGGAGCTGGAGGGATATGAGCACGGTTGGGTGGCCCAAGCCTGGGTTCTGGTTTAACACACAATTGGGCCACTCAGTTGTGTTAATATGATCTGGTGGTGGGCAGGGGAACAACATGCTATTGTGGAGGAAAGCGTGGGCTGTGGAATCAGAGGGAGGCTCCGGTTCTGTCTCTACTTCAGATCTAGAGTGTAAGTTGGTCCGGGTTTTTACAAGGCATTGGACTTTGGGGGTCAGAAGGTAGACCAGTCTAGGGAGCTGGGTGGCTAGAAAAAGGCTGGATTTCTACCACACAGCCCGAGAGAAGCTTCTGCACACATTCCTTTCTATTGCATAAAATTACATCATCCATGCAACAATAGTTTCTGCTTTCCATGTCTCTGGGTGGGGCTAAAGTGCGTCATTGGCCAGAGGCCTGGGCTTTACCTTTTAAGGCACTCTAGTGCCAGAGTGTCTGCTGTGTTCTTCTGGGTTCTGCCCAGAGGACAGGTATGCAAAAGGCCCTCTTCCTGTGTAAACAGAAAAGTCTCATGCAAGAGGAATGGGACTGAAACTTGGCTGGCAGGCTGCCACCCTCCTGGGTAGGGGGTATGGCCCCACTGGGCTCACACATCAGCACTGGTTGATAAATTCTGACCTACCAACACTCACAAATGCAAACCAGCTGCCTGAAGATTCTTTCAAGATTCTTTAGTCCAGCTCTGTGCTCCTTGCATTTTGCTAGGGGGTCATGAGGTTCTGTGATATTCAAGGCCAATTTTCTCCAGCTTCTGCTGTGATGATCATGTCAACAAGGGAACTTCATGGGAATTGTAGGCAGGATCTAGGATGTACATTCTGCAAGCTGTGTCACCCAGGACTGATTGCTCACATCCCCCCCGCGCCCCCCCCCACCGCCTTTTTTTTGAGATGGAATCTCACTCTGTTGCCTAGCCTGGAATGCAATGGCATCATCTTGGCTCACTGCAACCTCCACTTCCTGGATTCAAGCGATTCTCCTGCTTCAGCCTCCTAAGTAGCTGAGATTACAGATGCACGCCACCATGCCTGACTGATTTTGTATTATTATTATTATTTTAGTTGTCAAGTGATCCTTTATTGAAATATCTTCCTTTGTGCTTCTTAACTAGCTGGGCATTCCACAGCACCACTGTTGATGCCATCTATGATGTCATGAGGGTGGTGGCCATCAGCATTACAGCCCACAGACTGGGCAGTTTCCAGGATCTCTCTACTAGTTCCAGAGAGTTCTCTGGCTAAAAATCATCTGTTGGGCAATGCTGACGATCTCATCAAAAGTGATATTCCCACTGTTTTTAGTGTTTTCCTGTTTCTGTCTCTGGTTGGTTCCTTGATGGCTTTGAGGCTCAGGGCAGAGGCAGAAGGCACCACTCAATCTGGGCCTGTCTGTTCTGAATGGTCAGTTTCACTGTAATCCTCAGGCCCTTCCAGTCACCCGTTGCTTTGGCAATGTCATCACCAACTTTTTTGGAGACAGACCCGGGGGGCTGATCTTGGTGGCCAGCGTAGGAGTGGCACTGACTTCACCCCCAGTGGACCTCAGGTATATGACTTTGATCTCGTTGGGGTCGAACTTCGGCAGCACGGGGGAGATGGCTGGTGTCAGATGAACCCGGATTTGGATTGGCCAAAGGAAGTTGCACTTTGGCCTCCTCCGAGCCGAAAGCTGAAAGTGATTTTGTATTTTTAATAGAGATGGGGTTTCACCATGTTGGTCATGCTGGTCTCGAACTCCTTGAACTTGTGATCCACCTGCCTTGGCCTCTCAAAGTGCAGGGATTACAGGTGTGAGCCACCGTGCCTGGCACATTTTCCCTTTTTAAACACTGAACCTGGACTTGCCTGATGTCAATCCAGAAGATCCCAAGGGCTTTGGGGTTGGGTTTGAATTTCTTCCTGGGCCAGGGCCATGTGGGTCACAAGCAATGTTTGTGCTTTGGAGACTAATTCCCTGAGAGGATCCCCTGGCCATGGGTCACATTCCAGCCCAAGGTGGGAGGAAACTGCCTGGTGCATTTATGGAGAGTCATTCACCAGCCCATTTATAAGCACTGTGATGGCTTCTGATGGGAGGAGGACTGTCCTCAGTTCAGTATTGCTTCTCAGCGGAAGGTCGCCATAAAGCGTGAGTCCTCTTTTGGCTCTCCGTGCCTGCCTCACACTTCATCGTACTCAAACATGTCAGAGGCTGACTTAGCTGTGATCATGTCTCTATCTGAGCCCCTGGAGGGCAGTGAAGGTCTCATCCATCCCCAGGGTCTGCCTCAGAATAGACATGACGGGGCTGAGGCTGCATGGTCCTGGTTGGTGTACCTGTCCTGAGATGTACTGGGCCCTGTTTTTGACCATTAGCATGTTGCATCCTGCATAACCCCTTGGAAGTCTCTTGTGGAGTCTAAATACAGTCCTTCCCTCTGTGATTTCAGCTGCAAAATACCAACCAGACCAGCCTGGAGTAATGAAGAAAGGGCCTGGATCCTGTTCCCAGTCTTGTTCTTACCTTGACCAAACTTTTCACCTGTTTCTGGGCCACAGTCCTGCTCTCCTCTAGATTTAAATCGTGAAGATTCATTTTTCCCTTTATTTAATTTTAAATTTATTTTTGTAGAGATGAAGTCTTGCTCTATCACCCAAGATGGAGCGCAGTGGTAGAATCATAGCTTACTGCAGCCTTGAACTCCTGGGCTCAAGCGATCCTCCTGCCTCAGCCTCCCAAAGTGCTGGGATTACAGGTGTGAGCCACTGTGCCTGGCTCCATTTTCCTTATTTTCTTCCCTACTTAGTCCCTCTGAGCCGAAGAGTAGCTGCAAAATAGAATAGTAACTATCAGAGAGTTGTTTGAGAAAGATATTGCTGCATGTAAAGTGCTTAAAGCATAGGGAGTTATATATGTCTAACTATTATTTCACTTACTGGAATTCTTTGGAAGAGTTTTGAGCCCCTTTAAAGAAAGGTCTACAAAGTCTAAGGCCAGCTGAACTCCCTCTGCCCCACCTGGAGAGTGACAGTAGGGCAGGAAGAATAACTAGGGAAGCCTAGGGGTTAGAGCAAGGGCTCCTTAGCCAGGGGGCACCTCCCTGGTAATGACCCCCAGCAGCACCTGCCCGTCACTACTCCCAATTTAACCCCATTTCCCATCGGTGACCCCTGCCTCACCAGCACAAGTGTCTACCCATGTGCCCACACTGCACTCATATTCACATGTACCCTTTCCTTCTTTCTTTCCCTTCCTTCCTTCCTTCTCTTTCTTTATTTCCTTTTCTTTTCCTTTCTTTCTTTCTTTCTTTCTTTCTTTCTTTCTTTCTTTCTTTCTTTCTTTCTTTCTTTCTTTCTTTTTTTCTTTCTTCTCTCTCTCTCTCTCTTTCTTCAGACTTTCTCTCTTGTTGCCCAGGTTAAAGCGCAATGGCATGACACTGCTACCTCCGCCTCCAAGGTTCAAGCAATTCTCCTGCCTCAGCCCCCTTGAGTAGATGGGATTACAGGCACCTGCCACCACACCCAGCTCATTTTTAATTTTTTAAAATTTTTAGTAGAGATGGGTTTCTCCATGTTGGTCAGGCTGGTCTCGAACTCTCGACCTCAGGTGATCCACCCGCCTTGGCCTCCCAAAGTGCTGGGATTTTAGGTGTGAGCCACTGTGCCTGGCTAAATCTCCCCTTTTCAGCACGAAGCACACACATTCACACACATAAGCACACATTTAGAAACCCTCACCATCTCTCTCATGCGCACGTGTTTCCACACACGTGGAATGTGCATGTTCCTGGATGCAATCATATTGTTCCACTCACAGCTACCTCTAGACACTGAGCAATGCAGAATGAATCTACAGTCAACACGTGCATACACTGCATAGTTGCATGAAACCTGGACCCCCCATTTCTCTCTAGCTCCTAGTCCTGTCCCCCCTCTCCCAAAGAATAATAGAGCTTTAAATTGGTAAAGGATGTTAGCAGCCACCTAATCCAAACATTGTATTTTATTAGCAGATATACTAAGGCCCAGAGAGTAGAGGTGACCTGCTAAAGGTCACACCGTGAGCTGTTCCTTTTCTTCACCATTCTGCACCAGGGGCACCATGTGTTTGATTCCTTCCCGCCTCGCTCCTCTGCCCATGCTTGTGCAGGAATGGGAAGCTAGAAATTGGTGAGGGTTGTGTGGTTGGAGTAGGAAGGAAGACGGGGTCAGAGCTAGAGGGAAGATGAGGGAGTGAAATATGGCAGGTCTCTAAGGCCCAGCTGGGCTGATGACGCCAGTGAGACGCAAGGGTGGGGAAGTTGGCAGAGGTGAGAAGTCCATCTGGACTGGAGTTGCAGTTGGCTTCTGAGCTAGGGAGGGATGGAGCTGGTGTCTGGACTCCAGACAGGGGCTGCTGCTACTGCTTGTTTTTTATACTTTTTTTGAAACAGGGTCTTGCTCTATCACCCATGCTGGAAGGGAGTGGCACAAACATGGCTCACTGTGCAGCCTCACCTCCTGAGCTCAAGCTGTCCTGCTTCAGGCTGCTAAGTAGCTGGGACCATAGGTGCACACCACCTCGCCAGCTAATGGTTTTATATTTTATAGAGATGGAGTCTCACCATATTGTCCGGGCTGATCTCTAACTCCAGGGCTCAAGCAATCTTTTCACCCCGGCCTCCTAAAGTGTTGGGATTATAGTGTGAGCCACTGTACCCAGCCTAGGGCCAGCTTCTGAGCTGTGTGATGTCATAAGAGCTGCGTTACAGCATAGAGGGTGCAAAGATTGATCACAAATTCTGGAACTTTCCAGGATTTTGTCCTGCTGAGAATTCCATCAGAGGTGGTCTAGAGACCTTGGTTTGATTCTACCTTTTACAAGAGACTTTGTATTTTTAGTCTAGATGCTTCTGGTCTCTTAATATTCTTAATCATTTCTAGTGCCCAGAAGGGTAGAGGTGTGGGACTTCCATTTCTGCTGCATTTTCTGGGCCTCAGACTGGAAGTTTAGAGATTCACTCTGGCATAAAGATGTATGTTCAGGGTGGCAGCCACCTGGTGCTGGTGGCATCCTACAACGGCAGGTCGCCATGCGTGTGCCCCAAGATCAAGCAGGAGGTGATCGCCTCGTGTGCCCACTGGGCGCTGGAACCCTCTCAGCAATGACCATCGGCCGGCTACACATGACTTCCCCCTGGGCGGCAGCTCCCCAGCAGGACTACCCTGACCCTGGGTCTTGAGGAATTGCTGAGAGGGGGTGTCACCCTGCCCTGCTGCTTCCCCCCGGCTTTCATCCCCACCTGGGGCCCAATTACTCATCCTGCCTGACCAGATGCAGCCGCAAGTCCCACCACTCTGTTACCAAGAGCTTGTGCCTCCCGGTTCCTGCATGCTGGAGGAGCCCAAGCTGAAGAGGTCAAGACAATCGTGGCCCTGGAAAAGGACTGCCACCCACACTTGTGATTACATGGGCTGCAGCAAAACCTACACAAAGAGTTCCCATCTCAAGGCACACCTGCGAACCCACACAGGTGAGAAACCTTATCACTGTGACTGGGAAGGCTGTGGGTGGAAATTTGCCCGCTCAGATGAACTGACCAGGCACTACCGTATAAACAGATGGGGCACCGCCCATTCCAGTGCCAGAAATGCCACTGAGCATTTTCCAGGTCGGACCACCTCACCTTACACGGGAAAAGGCATTTTTAAATCCCAGACGGTGGATAAAACCCACACTGCCGGAAGAGAATTCAGTATTTTTTACCTTTCACATTGTCTTCCCGATGAGGGGAGGAGCTCAGCCAGAAAGCACTACAATCATGATCAAGTTCCCAACTGAGTCAACTTGTGAGTGGATAATCAGGAAAAATGAGGAATCCAAAAGACAAAAAGCAAAGAACAGTTGGGGTCTGTGATCGGATTTTCTTTCATTCCAATTGTAAATCTGACTTGAATATTCCTGGACTTACGAAATGCCAAGGGGGTGACTGGAAGTTGTGGATCTCAGGGTATAAATTATATACGTGAGTTGGGGGAGGGGAGACCAGAATTCCCTTGAATTGTGTATGGATGTGATACAAGCATAAAAGATCGCCTTGTATCTCTCTACTTTCTAAAAGCCATTTTTATGATGTTAGAAGAGGAAGAAATTCAGGTACAGAAACATGTTTAAATAGCCTAAATGATGGTTCTTGGAGAGTCTTGGTTCTAAAGGTACCAAATGAGAAAGCCGAAGTTTTCAAACTGCTGCAAACTTTGACCAGGAGCGTCTATATTTGTCTTCTGATCTCCATTTGTGACCTAAGCCAGCTAATACACCTGGTTTACTTCTTTACCATTTTTATGCAGACAATCTGTTATGCACTGTGGTTTCAGACGTGCAATAATTTGTACAGTGGTTTATTCCCAAGTATGCCTTAAGCAGAACACATGTTTTTTCTATATAGTTCCTTGCCTTAATAAATATGTAATATAAATTTAAGCAAACGTCTATTTTGTATACCTGTAAACTACAAAGTAAACGTTTTGTGGAGTTTGTATTTTGCATACTCAAGGTGAAAATTAAGTTTTAAATAAACCTGTAATATTGGAAAAAAGATGTATGTTCAGGGAGTCACCTTGGCCTGTAGTGGGGTAGAGCTGTCATTTCCCCCATCCCTCCCTCATCAGTGTCTGGTGAACACTTCCATGCATGAAGGCGCTGAGCAGCCCTGGGAAACATGGAGATTTCTCTCTGTACTTGTGATCTCTGATCACAGATACAAGTGTAATAAGAGGTTGGCCATAAGAGGCCCTCATCCCTGGAGGGACTTCTACTTTACATCCCACAAAACAATAATACTAATGATAAAAAAAAAATAGAATGATTATTTTGTGGCATGAACCTTCTAAGCCTTTTACATATATAAAATCCTTTGATTCTCTCGTCAACTTATGAGGTGGTTGCCCTTTCTGTCATCCTCATTTTAGAGGTGTGGAAACAGGCACAGAAAGGGTAAGTGCACTGCCCAACCCCACTCAACTAGGAAGGACCAGGGCCCAGCTTGGGGCCCAGGCAGTCTGGCTGGAGTCCATGTTCCCCGCTCTATGCCCCATCATCTTGTTATGTGCTGTTTTCTGTCTTTAAGGAAATGTATCAACTATGGCAGGTCTCCAAAACTCCAGAGTGATTCCATTAAAAACAAAAGGAAGCCACTTCGAAGGCTTTTTGAAACTTTAAATAATATTCATGTATTCAGCCCTTAAAGAATTCCAATAAATTACTCAGGCATGAGTCTTCCCTGCCAAAGCACTGGATGATGTTGCCTCAGCTTTGAGTGTTCGGTGAATCTGATCTTCATGATCCATCAGTTTACAGAAATGCATGAGGTGTTTTCTGGGAGATAGTTGCGGTTTAGTGAAATGAGCGCTAGCAACACACACAGGGCTTAAACCCCAGCTGAACCACCCAACTGACTAAGCAGGGACCCTGCCCCAATTACTGAGTACTTCTGAGTTCTGGCTTCTTCATCAACAAGGTGCATCACTAGGGTTTTGTGGATAAAGTTACATCACGTAGGGGCCTAGCACAACTCTTGGGTAAATCTGAGCCTTCTGTGAGGTGAGGGATAGAGAACTGTACTGAAGACCCTTGGGCCTCTTGCTGCTCCATGTGACTCTGGGGACCCTCTCTAACCCTGACCCCTGAGGAGGGTAACAGAGATGCGGACAAGACCCAGGTTGGCTACATTCATTTATTGAAACACAGATCAAGACAGAGATAAACAGGGCAGAGGAGGAAGGGGAGAGGCAGGAAGGAAGTGGCCACCGGCGAGGTTCTGGTCCTGGCTCTCCCTGCTCCTCTTGTGGGTGCCAGGGGACTTCTTTCTAGGGTAGTCTTTCCCGGTGTGGGGTGGTAGAGCCCAGAAGTGGGGGAATCACACAAAGCAATGAGAGGCCAGGAGTGGGAGGGGTCTTTCAAAGGGCAGGAGCAATAGCTGAGCACTTGGTCCAGGCGCTTGGGCTGTATGGACTGAGCAAGGCAGGGCAGGAAAGATACCTGGGGTCTGGGGCTTGAATTGGGGTGCCTAACATTTCCGGCAGCTGCTGCTGCAGGACCCCACACCCAAGGAGCTGATTCCACAGGAGCCCACGCCACAGGAACCCCCTCTGCAGGTGGTGTTCAACTGGCCGCAGGGCGCACACAGGCCGGTGCTCACCGCCACGTTCCCGCTGCACGGAGCGCTGCAGACGCTGCCAGTCACTGGCCGGGAGCCTGTCACACAGAGGTCCCCGCACACGACCCCACCCCGGGAGCTGCTGACACCTGTGAACCCCAAAGGCTGAGTCAAAATTCTGGAGGGCAAGCCTTCCTGCCTCCCTGACCACCGCCCCTGCCCAAGCCCCTAGCTCTGGGTATTGAAAGTCAGAAGCATCTTTAGTGGACAATTCTAGGTTCACCTAGTCCACGAGCTGGGGTCTTTTGGGCTGTCTGACTCCAGATCTCTCCTGTTGTCATGCCAGCCCACTCTTATATTCAATCTCGCCTCTTTCCAAACTCTGCCCTCCATCACAGGGAGGTACGAAATCTGTCCACACCGGGCCCCAAATACTCACAGACATTCACAGCCCCAACACCTTCACACAGCCTGGGGGCAAAAGAGAAAAAGGGAACCTTAGGAACTGCTCCAGAGAGGCTGGTAAAGCTCCCCAGGTCATAGTGTAGGCTCCACAGTCGGGCAATTAAGAACAGAGAGTCTGAGGGAACACCCCAGACAAACCCACACACCAGCCCTCCCCACACTGGAAGTTATGAATGACTTTCTTCCTCCTAGAGCCCTGGCCATTACTCAGCCAAGGCCAAGGGTAGGCTTGTGCCAAGGGTCTGGAAGGCTGGCTCTCGGCCAGGCTTGGTTGGACCAACCTCTGCTCCTCGCCCTCCAGCAGGCGCCTGTAGGTGGCGATCTCGATGTCCAGGCCCAGCTTGGAGTTCATGACCTCCTGGTACTCCCTGATCAGGCAGGCCATGTCCTGCTTGGCCTTCTGCAGGGCGGCCTCCAGCTCGGCCAGCTTGCAGCGGGCGTCACTGAGGGCCGCCTCACCCTGCTGCTCAGACTGGGCCACTGCAGCTTCCAGCTTGGAGTTCTGAAGAGAACAGAGAGAAGAAAGTAGATTAGAGTCTCTGGATCTCTACGATGCTTACCTGATGAGATCAGACTCCCTACGAAGCTGAGAGCATCCCAGAAACAGAGCCTCTTGCCTTAATCACCTGGGACTCACTGAGAGACCACACCAGGGACTCCACATGGACAAAGGGGCTGGAGAATGAACGCCGAGATCCAGGAAGGGCACACATAGGCTGTGTGACAAGGGTTAGGCACTCAGTCTCTCTGGCCTTGGGCATAGATGCCCCATACCTGGCACTTGGCGTTCTCCACCTCGGCCGTCAGCCTCTGGATCATGCGGTTCAGCTCGTTGATCTCTTCCTTGGTGCGGCGCAGGGTCTCCCCGTGCCTGATCACCGTGGCCTTCATCTCCTCGCACTGGGGAAGTAGAGATACTCATGAGGCTCAGGGCGGGAATTCCCATCCATTCAGGACACCATGGATGGCTGTACAGGTTGTGCAGTGCTCAGCCTGTGCAACCACACGTGGCAGTCCTGCCCTGCTACCCCAGCCTCAGAGAGACAGCCCTTCTCTTCTCATCCCTAGGGACCAGCATCCCCAGAAAAGGAAGCCTATTTAATAGACACTTCACATCCCTCCTACTGCCACGTCTAGCAGGCAGGTGTGCTGCCCCACTCACCTTGCTGCGGTACCAGGACTCGGCTTCAGCCCGGCTGCGGGTGACAATGTCATCGTACTGTGCCTTGATCTCAGCGACAATGCAGTCCATGTTCAGGTCCCGGCTGTTGTCCAGCTTGACGACCACGGAGGTGTCTGAGATGTGGGATTGGAGAACGCGGATCTCCTGCAGGAGGTGAGGGCAGTGACGTTAGTTGAGAACACAGCCCCACCTACTGTGTCCTGGACTCCAGCTTCTCAGGCCTTCTCTGGTCCCCAGCCCGCCCACTCACACAGCCTCAGGGACTGAAGCCCCTACCCACATCCCACCCCCAACTCTCCTCTCTGCTGGCTACCAGGCCTCTGCCTGGCCCCTGAGCCCGCACCTCCTCATACAGTCGCCTCAGGAAGTCGATCTCCTGGATCAGGGCCTCCACGTTGGCCTCCAGGTCTGACTTGCGGAGGTAGGCACAGTCCACATCCTGCAAAGGTGGGGAGTGTTGGAGTGCAAGGACCCTGATGATCCAATCCCCAACTACTCTTTCATCCCACCCAATCCGTGCAGCCAGGGAAAAGCAGTCCCCAGCATTCCATTCCCACGCCCTCTCGTTCCCTTCTGGCCCTTTCTGGAATGATCTAGCATCCTCTTCCCCTCTAAGGACAAACCCTGTGTCCTTGGGCATGGCTCACCAGCCTTTCACCCCTACCTGCACTGCCATTTCTCCTTTCTCCCCTCACCTGGTCCAGGAAGCCTGCCCAGACTGACCCCCCAGCTCTCATACCCTGACCCTTTCCTGCGCTCCAAGAGCCCAATGGCTGCTCCTGCTTCTGCTCCATCCTCCATTAGACCCTGGGATTGTGTCCCTGCCTCAAGGTCAGACTCCTTAGGATGCAAGACAGACTGCACTGTCCCTCAGCAGAGACAGTATCTACTAAGGCTCCAGGGGACTCAGCCACAGACCACAACCTCTGGAACAAAGTAAGACACCCAGAGGTCAATGCAGCCATGCCCCTGCCCAGGGCAGATGCTGGTGGATATTCCAAGGTCATTGTCCTCTGTCAAGGCCCCAGATGCTCTATCCAATGGCCTCCACCTGGATAGTCCCATCCCGCTGTGGAAAAGTCATTGCACCTCACACTGAGATTGAGACCCCCTGTGTCTCCCCAGGAAGAGCCTGTCATTCTGAGATCCCACAGGTCTGTGCTTCTCAATCCTGTGTCACTTGCCTTCTTCAGAGCCACAAACTCATTCTCAGCTGTTGCTCTCAGAGAAACCTCCTCCTCATACCTGAGACAGAGCAGAGGGCAGAGAGGGGAAGTCAGAGCAGGGCAGGTCTCTGCAGAGCCCCAACCCTGACCACAGCCATGGGGGTAGTAACAAGAACACAGCCACACAGTGGGCCCTGGCAGCCCAGCTGAGTCCTTTCTGGTTGGATGTGGGATATGTCTTGGATTCCCTCACCACTTCTAATTGGGAATAAAGAGGGCTTATCTGGGAACTCCCAGTCCTATTCCCAAAGGGGCTATAAGTTCTCCCAGGGGGCAAATAGAACTCAGCCCCCAGCCCCATCCTGGGTGTAGACAGCATGGCCTCCCAGGGCCTGTAGTCCCAGCACCCCCTCACTGGCACCAATCCTAGCTCCAGTGTGGGGACCTCCCAGACCAGCAGACATAGCCACAGCCCCAGACCTGTTACTGCTGAGCAACCCTGGGCTCACATCTGACAGGTGCTACAACTGTAGGGGCTGAGGGGCAGGAGAGAAGGCCTGGACCCCACAGAGGCTTCCTCCCCACTGAGCACAGGGGACAGCTGCTGGGTGACTTGGCTCAGGGAAGAGAGGGCTAAAGTGAGATAGAGACAGGTCGTGGGAGTCATAGCCTTCCTCTTACACAGGTGTCTGGGCAAAGATTCCATGAAGGAAAAGACCCAGACTCCACCACCCTCAGTCAACCTAGTGGTCATGGCCACTGACCCCACCTGGGAGTTCTTCCTGTTGTCTAATCCAGTGTATTTAATCTAAACCCAATTCCTGTGCCCAGCATCCCTCCTGCCCACACTCACTTCTTCTTGTAGCCCTCCAGCACCTCCTGCACGTGGTTGAGCTCTGAGGACAGCCTCCCACTGTCAGCCTCCACACACTCGGCCTCCCGCCGCAGAGTCTCAATGTAGCCCTCAAACAAGGGCTCCAGGTTGCTCTGGCAGCACTCGCGGTTCTGGAAGAACTGCAGCTTGGTCTCCAGAAGCTTGTTCTGCTGCTCCAGGAAGCGCACCTAACATTCAGGGTGGGAAGGAGAGGCAGATGGTCTCTGGTGCCCCAAAGCCAGCTCTGGGGACCTGGAGGAAGGGTGATGCTTTAATGGGAATTCCCAAGTCTGGAGCTTATCTGAGATTGAGTACAGGTGGGCAGTGGGAGACAGACAGTTTCTGGATTTCCTGGCCATGATCTGTACCTAGATTTTCCACTCAGGAATGGAGCAAGGGCTGGGGGCAAGGGGGTGTCAGTGCCTGCTCTCAGGGGAGTTGAGTGATTCCAAGCAGACGAACACAAGTGGAGGCTCAGTCCCTCACTCTGAAGCCAGGTGAGGCAGCAACCCTCACAGGCAGAGTGCCCAGGTTCAGCTCACAGATTGGGCTTCTGGGGATGGTGCCAGGAAGAGGGTGTCACAGGCCATCTGGAAGGGAGCTCAGCTGTCCCAGCCCTTCCCCTATGTCATCTGGAAGTCAGTGCACCCTACTCTTTCACCCTGGGGCTCCCCAGACCCCTCTGAGTTCAGCAGCAACAGTCACATGGCCCCACCCCCAACTCCCTGATGTCTAACTTGTGCCCCAGAGCAGCCTGGCCACACTTTTCCTCCACAAGCTCCTCCTATCTGAGTCTGGGTCTTGAGTGTGTGTGTGTCTGTCCGTCTGTCTGTGTGCCTCTCCCATCAGACTGGGATGTGAGGCAGGCAGAGGTCTCTCTACCTCTGACACCATCCTCAGTGCCCAGCCCTGGCTGTGTAGGTGGTGGTGGTTCAGGAAGGGTGTGATCCAGGACACCCACCTTGTCGATGAAGGCTGCGAACCTGCTGTTGAGGCACTTGATCTGCTCCTTCTCCTCCTGCTTCACGCACTGCGCGTTGGGGTCGATCTCCAGGTTGAGAGGTGTGAGGAGGCTCTCGTTGACCGACACCGTGGTGATGCAGGGGGGGCTGGGTCCGCACACGCCCCCGGAGCGGTAGCCGAAGCTGCGTCCGCAGGAGCCGGCGCGGAAGCCCCCGCACACGCTGTGGCTGCCGAAGCCCCCGGTGAGGCCGCGGTAGCAGGAGATGCCGCGGTAGGGGGCGGCGGTGATGCAGCAGCGGCCGGGCCGGGGCCCGCAGGCAGAGATGCAGCTGAAGGCGCGGCCGCCAAATCCTGATCCGCAGGTCATGGTGCTCCTGGCCGTTTGGGTTGCAGAGGAGAGGATAGGGGACCTGGAGTCCTGGTGGAAACTCCAATCTGCTCCTCAGGGCACCGCAGCCCTATTTATGCGCAGATTCCGAAGGGGCTTGGCTTGAAGACCGTGTTGGGGCAATTTTCGCTTTATGGGCTTGGGTGGTTAGCCGGGTCCAACGCCTGTCCAGAATGTGCTTTAATGGTGGAGTGGCCTGCACCCTCTTCTTTGTAAAGGATGTCAGCCTTGGGCTGTAGCGGGAGTCAGCATGTTTCATCTTCAAAGTGTCTTGCCAGCAGGGCATTCCTTCATCTGCAGGCATTGGGGAGGGCATTGGGGAGGGCAGGGGTGAGGAGTAGGTCTTGGCAAGCAGAGGAGAAGGAGGGGCAGGTGCTGGAGAAACTGGGAGGAGGAGACCTGTGTGTTAAATGTGATGTGGGGACAGGGGTTCCAGAAAGGCTGAGGCATTAATAAATACCATCTCACGTTTCCATCCCAGCTGTGGCTAAAGTGTTCCCAAAACACAAACCCGGATTTCCCCAGCTCCAGATTTTTCAGTGGGCAGCTGAAAACCATCTCCCTTTTCCTGCCATGGCAGCAGTCAGCAGATTATTAAATATTTGTCTTTTATCTTTTTTATGATGGGAGCTTTCAAACATTGAGAAATTTGAAATAATACAACACACAAGCATTGATGTTCCACCTGGATACCCAGATTCAATGGTTAACATTATGCCCTATTTGCTTTCACATTTGCCCCATTATTTGAGTAGCAGAAACATGGCATATAACCCTTAAATACATCAGCACGAATTTCTTAAGAATAAAGAGAGTACTGTTTTCACATGCAGAAAATTAACAATAATTCCGAAGCACCTCTTACTGTCCATCTCAGATTCAATTTTCCTAAGAATTTTAAAACCAGATTTTGCATAATTTAATTTGTGGCTCTAGCCTTGTGTTTTCTATAAACTGGAAATTAAATCTTGAGCTGGGCTGTCCAATTAGGTTAACAATTGACAGATGTGGCTACTTAAATTTAAATTAGTTAAAATTAATTAAGTTAAAAATCTAGTTATCAGTTGCATTATCCATGTTTTCAGTCCTCAGCAGCTACCCATAAGTAGTGCCTATCTTATAGAACAAACAAAGAACAGTGCTTTATTATTTGCTTTTATTTTATTTATTGTTCATTTTCACATAAAATTCTATTGGACAGCACTGGGCTAGGGGCTGGATTAGGTTTAAATTAGACATTGTTGGGCAGAATGCTTCATAAGAGATGCTGTATAACTTTTATTATGTCACTCGAGGAAGCACAAAATGTCAGATTGGTGGTGCTAAACTGGATCACAGCTGGGTGCGGTGGCTCACACCTGTAATACCAGCACTTTGGGAGGTTGAGGCGAGTGGATCACCTGAGGTCAGGATTGAAGACCAGTCTTGGTGGAGGAGTTCAAGACCAGAGCAAGTGAAACCCCATCTCTGCTACAAATACACAAATTAGCCTGGTGTGGTGCACACACCTGTATTCCCAGCTACGTGGGAGGCTGAGGCAGGAGAATTGCTTGAACCTGGGAGGTGGAGGTTGGATCACTCAAGTACATTTCCCCCTGTGTTAGGAAAAACTGTGTAGAGAATTAGAATTAGAAAGAACTGTGTAGAGAAACGTAGATCCTGGTTTGATAAGATATGTTTCTTTTTAATTGGCCACCTTCTATGTGATCATCATTATATATCATAAATTATCTCTAAGTCTCACATCAATCATATGAAGTATGTACCATTATCCCCATTTTATGGGTGAGGAAACCAAGGCTCAGGGAGGTTAAATAACTTGCCCAAACTCTCTCAGCTGGTAAGTGACAGAGCCAGGAATTGCAATGCCTTCTCGCCTATAAGCGATGACTACCCATTGACTTCCTAATCCTTGGATAAGTTCACGAGGGTAGAGAAAGTTGTTTACAGGGGAATATCTGTGAATTTAGGGGTGGGAGAGTCAGTCTAAGGAAGACGGGCAGAGTCAGAGTGGGTTGGGATGGTTAGAACCATGAAAGGCCAGTGAGGGACAAGTGGCACATGGTGATATGAGGCTGTTTGGAGGCTGGGAAGGAGTATGAGTTAGATGTGCAGCATCGGTGGCTAAGAACTGAAGGATGGGGTAGAAAACATCAGTTTTAGTGATTTGCATACCTCTAGCATTGGCAATACTTTGACAGATGGTACGTTGTTCTACTTACCCATGAACCACCCTCACTCCAATAGAGCAGGTCCTAGAAAAATTATCTTCTAAAGTACAGAGGTTTGGATTAAATTGAGGAGACGAAAAGAGAAGTGAAATGACCTGGTCTGTAGCCTCCAGAGCTGCTGTGCTTCAAGGGCAAAGACAGGCAGAGCAGCCTTTGGGAATGAGAACAGTGGCAGGATTGATGGGAAAAGAGAAGAGAGGAGGAAAATAGAGGAGAGTAGGGCTCAGGGCATCTGTGCAAAACATTCAGAGTGTGGCCTTGTGTCAGGACAGATGTGGAGGGTCACAGACTATGTTGAGCTATCTAGTCACCCCAGAGAAGAGTATGGCACCTGCTGTCCCTTTGTGAGTTTGGGGCAGCTGGGACAGCACTTCTGAAGCTCTTTGTACCCTCATCTGCAATTCTGGGCACTGCCCACAATTAAGCAGTGGTGTCCCCAGCAAACCAGCGGTTGGGTGTCCTGAGGAGTGCTGTGAGTCAAAGTACATCTCATCCACACTTCACCTTTTCAACCAGTATAACTCCTTATAAAAACGACATGCATAAACACAGGATAATTACTAATGGCTGGTCCTTACTAAGCAATTTTAAAGATGTAAGAAGCAAAACAAGGTATAAAAAATTCAAATGTGACACCATTTCATTAAGCTTCAGGAATTAATTGCTGCTAATTTTTGAAGACCTAAAAGGACATTCAACTTTTTCTTCAGAGTAAAATTTCCTTGTCATCAGGAAGGGAGGAGGGGAGGGAAGAGGCTGGCAGAATCTCCAGTCTATGGCCTTGGCTCTGGCAAGGTAAAGAGAATCGATTTTAACTTTATGGAGGAACAATTATTCTTATTGTGAAATATTTCAACACAGGATAGAATGTATAGGTGGTTAGATCTGTACCAATATCTACCACTTATAGGAAGAAATAGATTTCAGGAGCTTCCCTATGTACCTTGTTAGGGTGACTCCTCTTTTGCATTTCGTATTTAATTATTCCCTTGCCTTACTTACAGTTGTATAACCAATGTATCCACCTTGCAGTGACACATTGTTTCATTTTCCAGCATTTGAACTTCATATAAATGGAATCATGTTGCATGTATCCTTTTGTATTTGGTTTCTTTCATTAAATGTTGCTTCCTGTGTTCATTTTCACTGTGGATTGCATTCATTGCATGGCTATACCACAGTTTATTCCCCTTTCTACCTCAATAGCCTCATGGTTGTTTCCGGGGTTCTGTAGATTGAACAGAGCTGCGATGAACATCCTCTCCCATGCTATCTGGTGTGTTTATGTAAGAGTTTTTTCTGGGGTATGTGACCATTTTTTAAAAAAAGTTATGTAAGTAGTAGATGCTTCATATAGAAAACTATTTTATGAATATTCTTCCAAACTTAATAACATCTTTTGATGTTCATATTGCACCATGCTAGATACTATTTTAAGAGCCCAATATGCATTAACTCATCTAATTTTTACAGTTACCCTCTGAGGTTGGTGTTATTATTCTTGTTTTATAGATGAGGACACTGAGGTGTAGGGAGGTTAAGGCTTAGGTTTCGTGTTAGTAGCAGAGCTGGCATCCAGAGCCTGTGTGTCTGATCCCAAAGGAAGGGATGCATTTGTCCCATTGCACTCCCGTCTATACACCATCGGCCATCAGTAGTCACACAGTAGCTGGTGTTTGTACATAACACACAAACACAAACACTCATCTTGTCCCATGCTCTCTGGAGGGCCCTGCAGATTGCTTTCAGGGTTCAGGGTATAGAAGAGCTCACCCTTGTTCTTGGCGAGCTTTCAGTATTAAGAGAAAAGCTGGACAGATCTAGATCAAGAACAAAAATGCAAACTTTGCAACACATCAGTGTGTACAAATGTTTTTTTCCTGGGCATATTCCAAGGGCTTGGCACATAGTAGGTGCTCAATAAATATTTGTTGAATGAATGAAAAGACTACCAGCTACATATTAAGTGCTGAGTAATGGAGCCATTGAAGCTTGGTGGTTTATTGTGCAAAGCTTTGTGGTAGGATAGGGTGGGGACAGATGAAGCTGATGATGTGGTCATTCCTGGGGGTGGGGGTGGAGAGGGGTGATCTTCCTTGCTGGGGCCTGAAGGAAGAATGAAGTGAGTGAGATGTGTCTTTAACCAAAACGAAGTTCTTGGCTTGGGCTCTAAGAGGGTGGTAGGGAAAGTCAGCCGATGAGAGCAAGGATCTTGAAGGCTTTGGGGCAGCGTAGAGACCAGGGGTTGGTTTCGAGAGGGAAAGAGAGAAGCGAATCAGAGAGGATTTCTAAGAAAAGAGGGAGAAAGAAATACTTGGTCTTAGATTATTATTCTCAAGGGCCACTTAGAAGAAGGGAAGGAGGGTGCTCCATGGCTGGAGAAGAAAATGAGGGAGAGATCTTGGGAGATAGTCAAGAAGAGGAAGGTACTGGAGGACAGTGGAGGAAAAATGGGAGAAGATCTGGGGAGGATGGTGGAGGTGTCACTCCAGGGTTGGAAGAGCAGAGGAAGAGGAGGTAGATGGGGGAAGCAGCACAGCACCAAGGGGAAGTGTGTAGACCCATTGAAGAGGTGGGCACCATAGCACCAGATTTATAGTAATGAACCCTCACAGGGCAGGGTCATGGGGTGAGGGAGGTTCAGGCACTCAGCTGGTTAGTGGGACCAACCTCACCGGCTGGAGCTTTTGAGTCAGGCTCCAGCCCCACCCAGGTATCCCACAAGGGTCTTCTGCCCCTTTGTCCAGAGGGACTCCTCTCTGGTGAGTTCTGGTGGATAATTGGCTAGTGTCCTGGGCTATCTTGGCTGAGAAGGTAGGGCTCTGATTTGGGCCTCTTCCCAGTCACCCACACAACTGGCCTGGGGTCAACTCCATCATCAACATCTCAACAGCCCAAGTGTTGTGTAAGCAGCCACCCCACTATCCCTCAACTTCCTTCACTGGACCCTGGCCTGCATCTGCTTTCTATGAGTAGAAAGCATGAGCTAGCTGCAAGGTTAGTAAGGGCATGACCCTATGGACACCTGTAAGCTCAGCATGCAGATGCTTTGATACCCTCCAAATGTAGAGCCCACAGGCTATCTTGCAGCCCACAGCTGTGAAGCAGAGTCTCAGGGATGACGCTGGCCCTGCTTATAAGGGCTGTGCCTCAACTGGCTTTCTTCTTCTCTCTCCACTGTCACAGCAGCTCATGATCCTCTCCACTCGTGCAAGGGCCCCGAGGATCCCCTGCTGTCCAGCCCCTGGCCCTGTTTGATTCTCTCTCACTTTCTGAAATGCTTCCATGCACATCGTCTCACCAACACTGTCCTGCCTGCCTTTTGCCTAAAGCTTGTCCTCACCCTTTCTAGGGAGCCTTTCTTTCCTTTCCCATCAGACTAGCTGCAATTGCATATTGTCCCAGAATGGACACTCAGCAGGTATTGCATTCCTCAGTATCTGTTAGTACATCTTAAAAGCAGCCCTCTTTAGACTTCCGGCCTTTCTCATGAATTCAGGTATGTTCCGCCAGACTGGGAGCTCCAGAATCCATGTCTCCTTCCTCCTCTCAGTTCCTCCTTCTCTCCAAAATTAAGACAGGATTGAACATACAGCTAGGAAATATCAGTCATAAAATTCCTGAGTCCCCTGGCTGGAAGATGTTATCTAGTCCAAGTGATCAACTATCTTGAGGAGTCTGCCTTGTAATACCCTCCAGGGAGCAAGATAAATTGAAGGGAGAATTGAACAAGAACTTCCTAATGTTAAAACCACCCAATTTGCCCATTCTTTCCAGGTGCCCTTGAAATAAAGGTCCACTTGGGCTAAAAGAAGAAACTCTGATCTCCAGATCTGAAGATATTTTGGTTCACCTTGTCTCCACAAAAATGGTGGCCACTGCAGAAATAGAAGTGTCTTTCTTTCACATAAAGCGTCCTTAAATGGAAGAGATAATGCAAGCTCCTTTAGAAAATCATGACTACTTGTCTCCTGGGAAGTTCTTCCTTAACTCCAGTTTCCATTTGTCCATCTGCAATGAAAGCTTGCCTTCTCTTGCTCTCATTGGAGTGCCATTATACTTGGATGAACTATCAAGGCCATATCCCCCATCCTCAACTTCATGAAATCCTGTGGCTACTGACCACAGGATCCTAAAACCAAAGAGTTTTTAGGATCAGGCAAAAAGCAAGATGAGTGAGCATGCCATTATTTGATTTATGACTCAGGACTTCGGATGGTCTGTTAAGTCCAAATAATAAATACACATTTAATAAATAATAAATAAATAAATAATTCACAGATTACAGACTTTTCAGATTATCCAAGCCTCTCTTCTCATCCAGTAGTGTGTTTGCCCAAGGATTGGTGATGTGTTCCTTTGCCAAAGAAAAGAGATTCTCTTTAGACCTTCTCTGAGGGAATCAGGCCAGAGCAGAGACTGAAGGAGGGGCATTTGTTTCGCGGTCCTTTTCTAGGGCAAACAAAGTAACCACGGCCAAACATCTCAGATCCTCTGACCCTTGGACTGGTTCCCATGGTAGAGTCTAGTAGATAACATTTATTGAGCATTTTCTATGTGCCAGGTGCTGTTAAACATTGCTCATGCATTATTTCATTTAATCCTTCTACAAGTCATTTAAGATAGGTAAAATAATGGGAACTGGACATAGAGACATAGACAGTTTAGGCACGTGGGTAAGTATATCCCATCAATGCTGCTGATACGTCCACAGCAGCAGCAGCAACAACATCTAACATGCTGACACACTTAGAGTGTGTCAGGCTTAGCTCTAAGTGATTTACATGGATTAACTCTTTTAATCCTTACAACAACTTTATGAGGTGGGTACTATTATTATCTTCATTTTAGAAACCATGAAATGAGGTACATAGAGGTTATGTAATTGCCTGAGTTTACGCAGCTTGAGAGTAGCAGAGCTAGAATTTGAAAGAAGGCAGTTTGGAATCTGAGTCTGTGTGCTTAACCAATAGGCCATGTATTCAAACTTTTTATTTATTTATTTTTATGGTTTTTTTGGGTATATAATAGTTATACATATTTATGGGCTACGTAAACATTTTGATATAAGCATAAAATGTGTACTGATCAAATCAGAGTAATTGGAAAACCCATCGCCTCAAACATTTATTATTTCCTTGTGTTGGGAACATTCCAAACCTACTCCTTTAGTTATTTTGAAATACACAATAACTGATTAACTATGGTAATTCTATTGTGCTACCAAACACTAGATCTCATTTCTGTTATCTAACTCTATTTTTGTACTCATTAACCAACTCTGCTTTATCTTTCCCTTCCCACTACCCTTCCTGGCCTCTGGTAAGCATCATTCTGCTCTCCATCTTATGAGATCAATTTTTTTTTTAGCTTTCACATATGAGTAAGAACATCTGAAATTTGTCTTTCTGTACCTGAATTATTTCCCCTAACACAGTGTTCTCCAATTCCATACATGTTGTTGCAAATGACAGGATTTCATTCCTTTTTATGGCTGAGTAATATTCCATTGTGTATATGTAACATATTTTCTTCATGGATAGACACTTAGATTGCTTCCAAATCATGGCTGTTGTGAATAGTGTTGCAATAAACATGGGAGTGCAGATTTCTCTTTGACATATGAATTTTCTTTCTTTTGGATGTATACCTAGTAGTGGAATTGCTGGATCCTCTGGTGGTTCTATTTTTAGTTTTTGGGGGAATCGCCATACTGTTTTCCACAGTGGATGTACTAATTTATATCCCACCAACAGTGTACAAGTGTTCCCCTTTCTCCACATCCTTGCTAGCACCCATTATTTTCTGTCTTTTTGATAAAAGCCATTTTACTGGGTTAAGATGATAACCTTATTGTGGTATTAATTTGTATTTCTTTAATGATATGTTGAGCATTTTTAATACACCAATCGACCATGTAGATATTTTCCTTTGAAAAATGTCCATTCAGATCTTTTGCCCATTTTAAAATCAGATTGTTTTATGTGCTATTGCATTGTTTGAGTTCCTTATATATTGCAGCTACTAATTCCTTGTCAGTTGAATAAATGGCAAATATTTTCTTGCATTCTATAGGTAGTTTCTTCACTTTGTTGATTGTTTCCTTTGCTGTGCAGAAGTTCTTCTAGCTGAGGTGATCCCATTTGTCCATGTTTTGCTTTGGTTGCCTGTGCTTTTTAGGCATCAGTAAAGAAATCTTTGTCCAGATCCAGATTAATGTCCTAAGCATTTCCTCAGTGTTTTCTTCTAGCAGTTTCATAGTTGCAGGTATTACATTTAAGTCTTTAATCCATTTTAATTTTGTTTTTGTATATAGTGAGAAATAGGTATTTCAACTTTTCAGCTGCAACTATAATAAGAAATAATTTTACATAGTGACTGGGTTTGCACCTACATATACACACGCACACCATACAACTGAAACAAAAAGCGCATGTAACAAAAGTTATCTCATGACATATGGTGCAATGTGCTATTTTCTAGTCTATTCTGCTCCATTTAATTTTCTCATAATCTATTTTATTAAAATAAAATTCTGGTTGCTTCAATTAGTGGGTCAGAACATAAACTCTGAATAAACACTGCCCCTGAGCCCACCGCCTCCCAATGATTGTAATGAAGCCCATCTGCACTGTGCTCTGGAGTCTACTGAGCATGTACACATCTCTGTAAAGCTCTAAGGCAGTAGTAGGAGGGAAAGCCTTAACCTATTTATTTCCCAGGAGAGTCAAATGCCTTCCCCCAGATCACACAGGGGTATTCAGGCCAGAGCCTTAGTTCCTACCCAGCCCTTGTGAGTTCAAGACTCACACTAGTCACATTGGATAGATGACATACACAAATATAGATCTGTTCTCTGGCACCTGCCAAGGGAACTGACAAACTTCTGTGCAGGAGTTTCAGAGAGAATAGCATGGAAAGCAGCAGGGACTCATCCTTATGGGGATCTATCTATATCTCATATTCTGAGCCAGATAATATATAGAATTGTAACAGCGGTGCTTACCCCAGGCATTCTAGGCCCTGGAGGATACACAGAGGCCTGAGAGGACATCCAGATGTTCAATCACTTTCTAGGGCCTCATGGGAAGTAATCGTGCTTTCCTGGGGCCAGTGGGCTAGTGTGTGCCCCTGAGGCCACATGGGATACTCTGAGGGAGGGAATGCCTCCACTCAGCCTAGGCTAGCCACCATGGCCTAATAAGGTGGCCTAAGAACTAGTCTGCATGTTAGTTGAGTGTGCAGGTGAGGATGAGAGAGAGAGAGAGAGAGAGAGAGAGAGAGAGAGAGAGAGAGAGAGAGAATGATAGTGGGTAGAAAGGCCAGCATATGAAAGTACTGTGTGTCTGTGTGTGTGGGCGGGGAGGGAGGGAGAGGAGAGAGAGAGGGAGGTTGTGGGTAGGAAGGACAACATGTGAGTGCATTGTTCGTGTGTGTGTGTGTGTGTGCACGTGCACATGAAAGAGTGGGAGAGAGAGAAACGTGTTGATAGGTACAGATAAGGGATTTAGGAGTGGGTGTTGGGGGGATTGGGTTCCTGTGTGGGTGACTAAGAGATTTTGTAAACGTGGGACTTTTGAGGCGAAGGCTCTTGGGACCGTTTTTGCCAAAACAGGCCGCCTAGTTCGGAGAAAGCACCAAGCACCCCTCAAGTTTCACATCATCTGACTCGCTCTCTCAACATTCCTAGCCAGTCGTATCAGCACCATGGACAGCGGCACAGACACCTCCAAACTCTGCCAGACAGGAGGAGCCGCAGCCCCGCCCCTTCCCCTCAGTTCCAACCTGAGTCACTGCCCTCCTTCCTCCAACGTCAGCTTCCTCAACCGCGTTTTGGGAGGCTGAGGTGGGTGTGGAGGACGTGAGCTAGTCCTTTGAAGAAGAAAACTGCAGTTTAGGGCAAAGGATCATAAACATCTGGCTGCATCTGGGCACCAATTAAGTACATTAAGTGGGGAGCGACAGCAGCTTAACAACCCAAGCCCATAAAGCCTTCTAATTCCTTGCACCCACGTGGTCCCAGTCTACCCACGTATATAAAAGGCCTAGAAAGGTGCAAGCAGTGAACACCTGACGCCCCGATCACTGTACTCTCCATTTGGACATCTCCATCCTCAGAACCTCTTGTCTTTCTCCAAAAGCACCATGACTTGTGGATCTTACTGTGGTGGCCGTGCCTTCAGCTGCATCTCTGCCTGCGGGCCCAGGCCTGGCCGCTGCTGCATCACCGCCGCCCCTTACCGCGGCATCTCCTGCTACCGCGGCCTCACCGGGGGCTTCGGCAGCCACAGCGTGTGCGGGGGCTTCCGCACCGGCTCCTGTGGACGCAGCTTCGGCTATCGCTCCGGGGGCGTGTGCGGGCCCAGCCCCCCCTGCATCACCACCGTGTCAGTCAACGAGAGCCTCCTCACACCTCTCAACCTGGAGATCGACCCCAATGCGCAGTGCGTGAAGCAGGAGGAGAAGGAGCAGATCAAGTGCCTCAACAGCAGGTTCGCAGCCTTCATCGACAAGGTGGGTGTCCTGGATCACACCCTTCCTGAACCACCACCACCTACACAGCCAGGGCTGGGCACTGAGGATGGTGTCAGAGGTAGAGAGACCTCTGCCTGCCTCACATCCCAGTCTGATGGGAGAGGCACACAGACAGACGGACAGACACACACACACTCAAGACCCAGACTCAGATAGGAGGAGCTTGTGGAGGAAAAGTGTGGCCAGGCTGCTCTGGGGCACAAGCTAGACATCAGGGGGTTGGGGGTGGGGCCATGTGACTGTTGCTGCTGAACTCAGAGGGGTCTGGGGAGCCCCAGGGTGAAAGAGTAGGGTGCACTGACTTCCAGATGACATAGGGGAAGGGCTGGGACAGCTGAGCTCCCTTCCAGATGGCCTGTGACACCCTCTTCCTGGCACCATCCCCAGAAGCCCAATCTGTGAGCTGAACCTGGGCACTCTGCCTGTGAGGGTTGCTGCCTCACCTGGCTTCAGAGTGAGGGACTGAGCCTCCATTTGTGTTCGTCTGCTTGGAATCACTCAACTCCCCTGAGAGCAGGCACTGACACCCCCTTGCCCCCAGCCCTTGCTCCATTCCTGAGTGGAAAATCTAGGTACAGATCATGGCCAGGAAATCCAGAAACTGTCTGTCTCCCACTGCCCACCTGTACTCAATCTCAGATAAGCTCCAGACTTGGGAATTCCCATTAAAGCATCACCCTTCCTCCAGGTCCCCAGAGCTGGCTTTGGGGCACCAGAGACCATCTGCCTCTCCTTCCCACCCTGAATGTTAGGTGCGCTTCCTGGAGCAGCAGAACAAGCTTCTGGAGACCAAGCTGCAGTTCTTCCAGAACCGCGAGTGCTGCCAGAGCAACCTGGAGCCCTTGTTTGAGGGCTACATTGAGACTCTGCGGCGGGAGGCCGAGTGTGTGGAGGCTGACAGTGGGAGGCTGTCCTCAGAGCTCAACCACGTGCAGGAGGTGCTGGAGGGCTACAAGAAGAAGTGAGTGTGGGCAGGAGGGATGCTGGGCACAGGAATTGGGTTTAGATTAAATACACTGGATTAGACAACAGGAAGAACTCCCAGGTGGGGTCAGTGGCCATGACCACTAGGTTGACTGAGGGTGGTGGAGTCTGGGTCTTTTCCTTCATGGAATCTTTGCCCAGACACCTGTGTAAGAGGAGGGCTATGACTCCCACGACCTGTCTCTATCTCACTTTAGCCCTCTCTTCCCTGAGCCACATCACCCAGAAGCTCTTCCCAGCGCTTGGTGGGGAGGAAGCCTCTGTGGGGTCCAGGCCTCCTCTTCTGCCCCTCAGCCCCTACAGTTGTAGCACCTGTTAGATATGAGCCCTGGGTCACTCAGGTGTGACAGTTCTGGGGCTCTGGGTGTTCCACTGCCTTGGGTTCTGAGTCCTGGGTGTCTGCGGGTCTGGGAGGCCAAAATCCTAACTCAGGTGTTTGGCCTCCCAGACCCGCAGACACTCAGTGAGGGGAGGGTCTGGATACCAGTCAGGGGGTGCTGGGACTACAGGCCCTGGGAGGCCATGCTATCTACACCCAGGATGGGGCTGGGGGCTGAGTTCTATTTGCCCCCTGGGAGAACTTATAGCCCCTTTGGGAATAGGACTGGGAGTTCCCAGATAAGCCCTCTTTATTCCCAATTAGAAGTGGTGAGGGAATCCAAGACATATCCCACATCCAACCAGAAAGGACTCAGCTGGGCTGCCAGGGCCCACTGTGTGGCTGTGTTCTTGTTACTGCCCCCATGGCTGTGGTCAGGGTTGGGGCTCTGCAGAGACCTGCCCTGCTCTGACTTCCCCTCTCTGCCCTCTGCTCTGTCTCAGGTATGAGGAGGAGGTTTCTCTGAGAGCAACAGCTGAGAATGAGTTTGTGGCTCTGAAGAAGGCAAGTGACACAGGATTGAGAAGCACAGACCTGTGGGATCTCAGAATGACAGGCTCTTCCTGGGGAGACACAGGGGGTCTCAATCTCAGTGTGAGGTGCAATGACTTTTCCACAGCGGGATGGGACTATCCAGGTGGAGGCCATTGGATAGAGCATCTGGGGCCTTGACAGAGGACAATGACCTTGGAATATCCACCAGCATCTGCCCTGGGCAGGGGCATGGCTGCATTGACCTCTGGGTGTCTTACTTTGTTCCAGAGGTTGTGGTCTGTGGCTGAGTCCCCTGGAGCCTTAGTAGATACTGTCTCTGCTGAGGGACAGTGCAGTCTGTCTTGCATCCTAAGGAGTCTGACCTTGAGGCAGGGACACAATCCCAGGGTCTAATGGAGGATGGAGCAGAAGCAGGAGCAGCCATTGGGCTCTTGGAGCGCAGGAAAGGGTCAGGGTATGAGAGCTGGGGGGTCAGTCTGGGCAGGCTTCCTGGACCAGGTGAGGGGAGAAAGGAGAAATGGCAGTGCAGGTAGGGGTGAAAGGCTGGTGAGCCATGCCCAAGGACACAGGGTTTGTCCTTAGAGGGGAAGAGGATGCTAGATCATTCCAGAAAGGGCCAGAAGGGAACGATGAGGGCGTGGGAATGGAATGCTGGGGACTGCTTTTCCCTGGCTGCACGGATTGGGTGGGATGAAAGAGTAGTTGGGGATTGGATCATCAGGGTCCTTGCACTCCAACACTCCCCACCTTTGCAGGATGTGGACTGTGCCTACCTCCGCAAGTCAGACCTGGAGGCCAACGTGGAGGCCCTGATCCAGGAGATCGACTTCCTGAGGCGACTGTATGAGGAGGTGCGGGCTCAGGGGCCAGGCAGAGGCCTGGTAGCCAGCAGAGAGGAGAGTTGGGGGTGGGATGTGGGTAGGGGCTTCAGTCCCTGAGGCTGTGTGAGTGGGCGGGCTGGGGACCAGAGAAGGCCTGAGAAGCTGGAGTCCAGGACACAGTAGGTGGGGCTGTGTTCTCAACTAACGTCACTGCCCTCACCTCCTGCAGGAGATCCGCGTTCTCCAATCCCACATCTCAGACACCTCCGTGGTCGTCAAGCTGGACAACAGCCGGGACCTGAACATGGACTGCATTGTCGCTGAGATCAAGGCACAGTACGATGACATTGTCACCCGCAGCCGGGCTGAAGCCGAGTCCTGGTACCGCAGCAAGGTGAGTGGGGCAGCACACCTGCCTGCTAGACGTGGCAGTAGGAGGGATGTGAAGTGTCTATTAAATAGGCTTCCTTTTCTGGGGATGCTGGTCCCTAGGGATGAGAAGAGAAGGGCTGTCTCTCTGAGGCTGGGGTAGCAGGGCAGGACTGCCACGTGTGGTTGCACAGGCTGAGCACTGCACAACCTGTACAGCCATCCATGGTGTCCTGAATGGATGGGAATTCCCGCCCTGAGCCTCATGAGTATCTCTACTTCCCCAGTGCGAGGAGATGAAGGCCACGGTGATCAGGCACGGGGAGACCCTGCGCCGCACCAAGGAAGAGATCAACGAGCTGAACCGCATGATCCAGAGGCTGACGGCCGAGGTGGAGAACGCCAAGTGCCAGGTATGGGGCATCTATGCCCAAGGCCAGAGAGACTGAGTGCCTAACCCTTGTCACACAGCCTATGTGTGCCCTTCCTGGATCTCGGCGTTCATTCTCCAGCCCCTTTGTCCATGTGGAGTCCCTGGTGTGGTCTCTCAGTGAGTCCCAGGTGATTAAGGCAAGAGGCTCTGTTTCTGGGATGCTCTCAGCTTCGTAGGGAGTCTGATCTCATCAGGTAAGCATCGTAGAGATCCAGAGACTCTAATCTACTTTCTTCTCTCTGTTCTCTTCAGAACTCCAAGCTGGAAGCTGCAGTGGCCCAGTCTGAGCAGCAGGGTGAGGCGGCCCTCAGTGACGCCCGCTGCAAGCTGGCCGAGCTGGAGGCCGCCCTGCAGAAGGCCAAGCAGGACATGGCCTGCCTGATCAGGGAGTACCAGGAGGTCATGAACTCCAAGCTGGGCCTGGACATCGAGATCGCCACCTACAGGCGCCTGCTGGAGGGCGAGGAGCAGAGGTGGGTCCCATAGACCTTTCACTTTCCCAGCTCTGCCAGGGTTCTCAGCGTGCCCTGTCCTCACACTCCTGGCAGCACTCAAGTATTGTTTCTTAACCTCCCCACCCTGCAACCAGACAGGTAATTTTTGTAAGTCCTTTAAACATGATCTATCTCTGTCTGGGTTTCTCGTCTTCACCCAGGCACTGATCTGGGATTGCAGTCATGTTAATCTCAGTTGAGATCCAGTAATCTGGCAGCAGGCATCCCTGTTACTGAGAAGCCTTATTAAGGCTTGGGGCCAGCTTGCCTGGGTAGTGCTTCTTCCCTCCCTTCCAGCTGTAGCTGCATGGGCCACTCAGGATTCCTTACTTTTTTCCTAGTCTGACCCTGGTCCTAGCCCCAGTCCTGGGAGTTCAGATGTATCCCCCAAGGGGAGATTCAGATAGATGACACCATCAACTCACACTTTTCTATTGTAATGGCAATGAGCACCCAAAGCTGTCTTCCTTTGTGGCAGGTGGGAATGAGTTAGAGAGCAAGGATTTATCCCTTGGGGGCAGTTATGCCTTGCTCTCAGGATTTTTGCTTATTTGCTTGCTTCAGAGGTGGGGGGAGAGGATAAGACCCATTGGTCACTCCGCCTTCCTATGGCTGGAGGGCAGCTAGCTATACAGCTCCCACTCCCAGAAGGACAACCCTCCCAGAATGTGAGCTCATTCTTTGCCCTTGGTTTCTTTCCCCCCAGTTAGTCAGTTGGTCTCACTCCAAGCTCCATTTCTTGTGGACAGTCAGACCCTTAGCCCTGTGGAGAGGAGGGTGAAGAGTGGGGATGCAGAGGGAGCATCTCATTTATTTTGGAAATGGGGAACACAGGTTTGTGACCTGGAACTTAAAGTGGCCTCATGATGAGATTTCCAACAAACTCAAGTTGTCGCATTGGAAAACTCAGAGGCAGGGGTCTGTCTGGGGCAGGGGAGTTTCCTAAGTGAAGAATTCTGGGAGGAGGAGTTTTCCAAGCCTGAATTTGGAAGTCAGAGAGACACATGGAAATGGCATTGTAATCTGAGTGGCCCACTCCTCCATCACATGGGGCTCTTGGAATGAACTCAGGAGCGTTGGTGTAGGTTACCTAGGGAACTTGGGCATGGGACAATTTGATGGTGGCTGTTGCCTCTCCTATCTGAAGCTGATTTCACCAATCTTTGGCCACTGTGCATTCAGGGGAACTCCATTTGCTTCCCTTGGGGGAAGCTGTATGGGAGGAAAATGCTGGCTGGGTGGAAATGGGTGGCCTAGGTGGCAGCCCTGTCTTGTCATTGGACATTTCCTTCTTCTGGGCCTCAGGGTTTCCATCTACAGGATGAGAGGACTGTGGTGAGGAGTCTCAGAGCCTGTTCTAAAATCCCATTTGTTTATCCAATGGTTTTGTATTGAGCCAGGCATTGCTTTTAGGTGGTGGGGTAAGGAATAGACAAAAATACTTACCCTCCTGAAGCCTATATATCTAGTGACACCAGTCAGACTGGATTTCAGAATTTAAATCTGCTCCCCTCAAATGCACCTGCCATTCAGTCAGAGACAACTTCGAAGGAGTGGCAGCTGATAATAGGTCTTAACGGCTGTGAGCCAGGGCTAAGTACTGTAGGCCTCTTATTTGATTCAGTACTCACTAGAGGTTTATAAAGTAGATTCTCCTGATGAGGAAGCCCAGGCCGAGGTTGGCTGAAGCTGAGGTTGCACAGCTCAGAAAAGGTGGAGAGCAAGGCGCTGCCAGGCCTTCTGTCTCCAGACCCTCACGGTGACCCGGGGCTATGCTGGCCTAGCGCATTTCTTGCCCCCTCCCTTTGGCAAATGCTCAGATGGAAAGCCACAGATGTTCCCCTCCACCTCGGCCGCTGAGGCCCCGGGCGCCTTTTCCGTGGCACTGACCTCTCCCCTCTTCTCTCCGCAGGCTGTGTGAGGGCGTCGGCTCGGTGAATGTCTGTAAGTAGTGGGGTCAGTCTCTTCCTCCTGCTGGGTGGGTCTGGTCGCCTCCGGGGAGAGGGCGCGTGCGCTTGCAGTAAAGCCACCCACCCGGCCGTGGTTGCGTCTGATGTGCGCCTCCATCTCTTCCCCGCAGGCGTCAGCAGCTCCCGCGGTGGCGTCGTCTGTGGCGATCTCTGCGCCTCCACTACTGCCCCTGTTTCCACCAGAGTCAGCAGCGCCCCCAGCAACAGCAACGTGGTGGTGGGCACCCCTAACGCCTGCGCCCCCTGCTCTGGGGTCGGCGCCTGCGGCGGCAGCTGTAAGAGGTGCTAGGGGGCTGCGGTCTCCGCCTGCGCCTGTCTCTGTCACTCTCCGCCCAGCCAGTACTTCGCGCCACCGGAACGCGCCGCTCGCTCCGGCCTCCCAAGAGCCACCGCCAGGTGCAGGCACTCTGAGTGCCCTCCCAACCGCTCCGCTCCGGGTGCCATCCTGGGTCGCGGGAGTCCGGGGAGGCCCGGGCGGCGCCGTGGTCTCTCTCTGCAGCCTTTCCCAGTAGTCAATTTGTTGTCCTGAGGATTCATCCTTTCCTTCCGCCTGCGTTCTGTTTTTCGCTGTATGCACTGGTCCTGCCTGACTGCTTCCCCAAAGCTTGGAGGAACAGGGGAGGCCCGGGCATGTCCCTCTCTGCAGGACTTGGGACTCTGCCCATGCGCTTCTGCCTGTGGAATGGAGACGCGGACCCTGGATGGTGGTTCTGTGACTCTGCGAGGAACAGCCCCACGCGTGGGGAGAGCACTTCCCTTCCAGGGCTGCCCGCCAGAGCTTCTGAAAAACCAGTGACTCTGCTGCCTTCTCCTTTGTCTTTGTTTCACTCTGTTTCCAATAAACTCTCCAATAAACTCATTGTAGCGAATCAAGCCTAGTGTCTCAGAGTCTTGAAAATGCCAGCGCCCTCCTGCGATAGGTGCTCCCTGCCAGAGCGCCTCAGGACCTGTTTATCCAGTTAGCTATTTTTCAGTAGCTGAAAAAGACATCTGTCCTTGAGCAGCCCAGGCCTTGGGGAAAAGGAGGGAAGAGTCATGGAGCCAGGGAATCTTACGGGGTCATGGGTTTCCCTAGACCAGGAATTCTCTTCAGCACTATTGACCTTGTGAGCTGGGCCATTCTTTGCGTGAAGGCTTTTGCGTGCATTTGGTAGGATGTTTAGTAGCACTCCTGGCCTCAATCCACTTGATAACAGGGGTCCTCCTCTGCCCTCTTGTGACAATTAAAAATGTCTCTAGATGTGGCCCCATGTTTCCTAGGGGTTCTCAACCACGGTGATCATCCACCGCCCCCACCCCCAGGCCTTCCTGGAGGGAGAAAGTGCATGGGAAAAAGATGCATGAGAATGGAAGGAAGGTATGTGTGAGAAGCAGTGTCGGGGGAGGAAGAGCCTTGCGTTGAGAGTCAGGAGAACTGCGCTTCTCATTCCAAGCCTTGATGGCTGTTGGCCACATGTGTGACTTTGGGCAAATTTCTTCCATCCCCTGATCTTCAGTTGCCTTGGCTGTGGAATGGGGCGTTTGGACAGTATTCCTAAGATCCTTCTAGCTCCCTAAGTGAGATTGTTTGAAAGGGTTATGTTAATGCCTTTTGAGTTTTCGTGCCTTGCCAGTTCAGCCATTTACTAGTCTGTAACTGTGGACAAATCACTAACCCTCTCTGAACGTTAGTTCCTTCATATTTAAAATGGGGTGACGACATCTATGGGGCTGTAGGGAGGTGCTTCAGATATTTCACATAAGTCACCCACATGGAGAGTCTTGAAACAGCGATGCTTTATCATGCCTCAGGGTTCTGTGGGCTTACCGAGCAGTTCCACTTTACATGGTGCTGTCTGGAGGGCTAGGATGTCTAAAAGGCCCAATATGGCCACAATCTCACATGGCTGGACTTGGTGCTGGCCACCAGCTGGGAATCAGCTGAGGTGGTTGGCCAGGGTGTATCAGTCAGAGTCCAATTAAAAGACAATAATTTGAACAGAGGTTTAACATAAAGTATTATTAACCTAACAGATTGGCTAGTACAAAGCAAAAACTCTAAAGACCACAGGAGCTGCAGCCATAAGGAGCAGCCCCTACCCCTAGGCCTTTTCTCCAGCATCTAAGGATAATTTATTCGCTGGTGATTCAGCTTTCACCGATTGCCTCCTTGAGCACATTCAGTCTCTGCCTGACGCCTGGGCCCAAAGTCAGCGTCACGGGTTTTGGGTTTTTTTTTAGCAGCACCCCTCTGCCAGGTACTAACTTGCCCTCCACTTTTCTATTACTGTGTAATAAGACATTCCCAAATTTAGTGGCTTAAAGCAACAATCTTTTTCATAGTTGTGTAAATTGCCTTGGTGATTCTTCTGCTTCCTGTCATTGAGCGGGGCTCTGGCACTGCTGAGAGATCCACGATGGCTTCACTTGTACAGTTGGCATTTGGAGCTACCTCTGGTCAAGAGCCCAGGAGCTGATGGCCAGGGCCTCTGTTCTTCTCTGTGTGCTCCAATACCCTTCAGGCCTCCCGGGCATGGAAGCTGCAGAAGGTGCTTTCCATCAGATTCTATTGGTCAAAGCAGTCATACGGCCAGCCTAGGATCCAGGGGAGGAAAAAAGGTTCCACCTTTGATATGAGCAATGCCATAGACAGAGAGGGAGGAGTCGTTGGGGGCTCGTCTCTGAAGATAGCTACCACAGGAGGATTAAATGAGACAACACAAATAAGTTTGGGGTATAGTGTCGCATGCAACAGATACTGAACAATTAGTGTTTCTGACTGCTCTTGTTATTACTATTGCCATAACATCATAACAGTGCAGCATTCTCAGCCGGGGCCGAGAGGGCTGGAAGGAAAAACTGGAAGCTGGAGGTCTGGCATCTCAGCTTTTGTCAACAAGAGTGTGTGGCCAAGCACCTTCAGCTTCTGGAGCCTCGGGTAGTTTACCCACTTGATAAAAGCAGGTGACAGCAGCAGCCCACTGAGTGAATGAGAGCTTCAGCTGGTGTGCAGGGCAGGCTGGATGCCATGGCACTGTTACTCTGGGTACTGACACTACCACACTGGCCCTGTCTCAGGCTTGTCAGCACAGAGGGATCCACCATCCAGCTAGCTCACATTCCTCAGCAGTCAGCAGGAAGCTTCCAGAGAAGAAGGAGCTGGCTCTCTGTATGATCATGGAAGGCCCATAGCATCTACCTCTGCAAGAGGATGGGAAAAGTGCTTGGAAGAAAGGAGGAATGAGAACCGCCCTTGGGTGGAGAAAGCTCTTCCATGGAGTGGAGTTGGAGTTGGGGTAGGAGGAGCTGCAGAGGAGGATGCAGAAAGCAGTCCCCGCTCTCCTCGGCACTTTCCCAACGCATCACAGCTCCTGGATGGCCCCATGCTCCTTCTCTAGCTCCACCTCTCACATGCTGTTCCCCATGACTGGAGCACATTTCTCCTCCTGGCTAACTCTTTACTTTATTCACTTCTTGCTTTCAAATGTAAGCTTCACAGGGACAAGCCTCTTTAACTATTTTCATCATTTAAAGGAACCCGTTTGTGTAACAGCACCTGCTACACAGCAGGTGCTCAATAAGGATTTGTTGTTGGAATAAATGAGCTCCTGGTTTTCCTTTAGGTCTCAGCTTCAACATTACCTCCTTCAGGAAGTAATCAGCTTTGCCTGCTTAACAACCCTTTGGCTGTGCTTCTCTTTTTCTCCCAGCACCAAGGCTCAGGGCTCTGCGTGGCCACCCACTCCTTGGTGGAGATGCGGCAGTGGTGGTGGAGAAGATGGACTCAGGGACTCAGGTCCAGAGGCTCCGACAGTCTTGTGTGACCCCTTGAGCTGGTTGGGTGGAAGGAAAATGCGTCACCACCAGAGGCATGGAGCCTCTGGGTTCCCCTAGGTGGTGCCTCCATAACCTCCTGAGGCTGGCAGCCCTTACAGTATCCTTCTTAACCCCTGAGAAGGGAGTGTTAAACCCCAGAGCACAGCTCAGAGCCCTTTCCCAAGACGGGCAGAACTGAAAAGGCCCCTGGAGAGCCTCTGGTCCAACTCCTCACTCGGCAGGTGTTCAGGGCATCTGAAGCCAGAGAAGGGGAAAAAGGTGGGGGGAATGGGGAGCAGTGAGAGACACACTGAGAGATCAGTCAGAGCTATACATATAGTAGATGGTACATTGTGTTTAAGTTTGAACTTTGTCCTGGGGACAGTGGTGACCTACTGAAAGGGCAGCCTTGTGTTTGATGAAGGTCTCTTTGGCTGCTGTGAGGTGGGAAGAGCAGGACTCCAGGCAAGATGGTGGTGACTGAGCATGGTGGCAGCAGTAGGGAGAAGGAAAGAGGGGGATGGAGAGGTATTTAGGAGGCAGAAAAAGAAGACCTTGGGGCTTAATGAATATTGAGGGTGCAGGCATGGATACATCATACATTCTGGTTTGGGCAACTGTGTTAATTTTGGCAGGAGAGACTGCAGGAGACCCTGGTTGAGAGGGTGGGAAGCAATGAGTTAAGCTGGAAGGTGTGCTGAGTTACAAGCATCTCTAAAACTGCCAAATGGAGGTGTCTTGTAGGAACTGGAGCTGGTGGGTCTAAGCTGAGGAGGGAGGGTAGGAGGAGAATCATCAGGGCTCTGAAGCCCAGGTAGAAGATTTTAACAAGGGAAGACATTAACTGCGGGTGGGAGCTGAAGGCAAGAGACTGATGCAATTGCCTAGGGAGAGTGCAGGGAGGTGAGAAAAGGCCCTGGGGTAGTTGGAAGTTTGAGGCAAGGTGCATGGTGAGGTGTGTGGCCTGTGAGCAGAACCTCCTGGGAGAAGCTAAGAGCCTGGCCTGGGAGACAAGGAGGTCAGGAATTGGGAGGTGGGAAAGAGAGATGGAGATGGGGAGCCCCTGGAGCATGAGTGGAGGCTAAAGGGCCCTGGGGGACCTGGACATTCCAGGGAAAGCTAAGGAAGCGGGTGGGTCCTCCAAGGACATCCTGGTGAGATGGGTGGGAAAGGCCAGGGGCTGGGCTGAGGCTGGGGCTGGGTGAAGCAGAGGAATGAAGAGGGCCAGCAAGGAAGGTGATATGCTATCCCGGAGGTGGGCTGTAACCTTGTGATGACTATTCCAGGCCTGATTCCTTGTGGGTGGGCCAGGGGCAGCATGCCCATTTGGTGGGCAGCATGAGGAGGATATGGCAATGGGGTGGGGACCAGACTGACACAGGGCGGCCCCCCAAGGGTGGCTGCTGGCACTTCTGGTGGTTGCCGCTGTGGTACCTATGTGGTGGGATGGCTGGGCGCAGAGTGAAGATGTGTGGAGAAGAGAAAGTGGGGACTGTGTGTGCAAGAAGGGGGCAAAACTCAAACATGCACACATGCACGCATACCCGTGCACACATATAAACATGCGCATGCACATACACTGCCTTCCCACTGATCCTCCGGCCTCCTCAGTCCTCTTCAGAGCCAGTTGGAAGAATAAAACCCTGTGCCATTCCAGACTGACAGGTGTGACAGGTGGAAGGTGCTGTGAACACAATCAGCACTGCCTGGCCAGGAGATGACAGAACCATATGGGGACAGGGTGCCACAGGTGTCCAGGCTGAGGACAGGCCAGAATGACTCTAGTGTTCAGGCCATATCATCAAGTTGGGATGGTCACCAGCTGATAGGTGTGGGGGCGCTCCAAGAAAGCAAGACATTATGGCACAGAAAGCAGGTCCCCCAGTTTATTGGAAAAGAGGAGACAAGGGGCCAGAGAGGTGGGGGGAACAGTCTCACAGTGCTCCTTCCAGAGAAGAAAGGCCCTTCTCTCTGGGAGGTGCTGAAGGCTGAGACTGGGGAAGGAATGGGTCTATTGCCCAGCTGCAGGCCCCTTTCCAGTGGGATGAGAGGTGGGAGGAGCCGCTGGTGGGAATGAG